CACCCTAACCAGCTACAACACTAAAATGCTACCTACATGTCAATACATCTGTGATTCATTCACATTCACAGTGGCACTTTTAGTTTTGATACTTCAAGTACATTTTGAAGCCAAGATTTTAACTTCTCATGCAGTATTTTTACAGTGTGGTATTGCTGTTTTTACTTGCTGAATACTCTCTCCTCCACTGTTTGTTATTTATGCTATACCTAGTACACTGTGAAGAATGAATGCCAAAGAGTCTCAGTATCCACAGACTCATAAAATAATCAGTTATAATTGTTTTTTCCTGTCAGGCAACACGTCCAGGAGGTGTGGTTGCACTGGTGGGTGTTGCCCCTGAGATGGTAACTGTTCCTCTGGTCAACGCGGCCCTAAAAGAGGTGGACATAAGAGGAATTTTCCGTTACTGTAACACGTAAGAAAATAGACATCAATTGCCCTTTTTGTTCTGTAAGAAGATGTTTAAAGCAAAGCTGGAGGCATTTCCACTTTAGGGTAATAATAAGATCAAGCTTGACTCATTGAGTAATCATACAGCAGAGATTGATCTCTAAGGTAAGATGCTTGTGTCGCTGTGTTGCAGCTGGCCGATGGCCATAGCCATGTTGGCGTCGGGTAAAGTGAACGTGAAGCCCCTTGTCACCCACCGTTTCCCCCTGGAGCAGGCAGTCCAGGCCTTTGAGACCACGCGTCAGGGTATCGGGATAAAGGTCATGTTAAAGTGTGACAAGAACGACCAGAAGGCCTGATCTGACCTGCTGCAGTGAAACAAAGCCGACCTGCCTGAGAGTGACTCAGCATGACATAAACACACACTGGACATTGACCCTAAGAAAGATAACAGAGCCGGTTCAAAGAGATGCACTAATAATAAATAGCACTGTGAGTTAACTGCTGTGTCGCCTGCTGGTTAGAGATGTTACTAAAATCAAACGGTACGAGTACATTTTACAGTTCCTCAACTTTGTTCTGTAATGAACATTTTAAGGGGTTTATGATTGTATATAATTTGTTCTGTATTAGATTTATGATCATTTTACACATGGCTGCTATAATAAAAAAAAAGAATAAATTCTTAAATAATAAAATGAACATAAAATGTTGGGTATTTCTTTATTATATTTTATTTTCACAGAACCTGCACCATCTGATTGTCGGCATTAGGGGGAACTAGAGACTCAAAGTGGTAATGTATAGCTGTGTCTCCCAGTTGCAGTCCATAATATACTACAATATATGAATCTTTTTTTTGCAATTATAACACAAGAAATCAACATACTTTATCATTTTATGCTTACAAGACTACAAACTGTCTTCAAAATGCCAGTGCCAATTAAACTTCACAGAAAGAAATAGAGTGCTCCTCCAAAGATTTAACTTTGTATGTTCTCCAAGGTTTTTCTGGAGTCTTACCAACTGCAATTATTAATTTACTGATTTATTTTTCAGCTGTGAGCATTGTGGGAAAATATTTGGACAGTACTTTAACAGAACACTCAAAAATCTAATGTGTTTACTGACACCTTTATATGTACTTCTCTACTTTTCCACCATGAGCACAACATATTCATAACCTGCATAGAATTATCATGCATTATGGTATCGGGTATCGAAAATACTGCTCTTTGTGGTGTGCTGTTTTGCAGTTATTAGAAAAGAAGTAAATATACTGTAGAGTTTTGTACTTAAAAGAAATGATGCAACGACAGACATCGATCACTTGGAAATGCACTTTGGAAACTTCACCAAAGTTAAAACACTTTCTGTTAAATATTTAACTTTGTCTCTGAAATTGGCTCACCTTTTGGAATTTGCTTTTCTTTTTTTTCATCTGTGGGTAACTCCTCTAAATCCAAATATTCAAAACCTGCTTCTTTTAATTATATTTGGTATGAAGCGTGAAATTGAGACAGTAACTCCTTTAACGAGTATCACATGGAATTCTCAGTTTTACTGAAAGTAAAATTTTTACTAAGGAAAAAAATATGAATGAAGCAATTTACTGTCATAGGTTTGACTTGTGGGCAGTAAATCAAAATTATGTGATATGCTCCATTATTTTTTAGTTTATTTAAGTTTTCACATCATCCTGTAGTTTTCCTGTAGTGTTCCTGATGTATTCACATGTGGCAAAAATTCAAATTTTGGTCAAACTATGTTTGTTTTAGCCTCAAATGCTGTTTTGTCAAGCCTGTCTATAAACAATTTCTCCATTTGACTTAACGTAGGTTTCTCCATGATGTCATTGCTACATGTAAACCCACCATACTGCTTTGGACACCATGTTAGTTTGGCCCTGAAAGTCACACAATAGCAAACTACATGACTGTGGCAGGAGGTAGACCAGCAACTTCCATGTGCTCTGAGTTAAAATTCCTGTTTCCCTCAAAGGAGTCTGGCAGCTTTCAAGAGAGCATAGATGATGTCTTCAGTTCCCTGTCGTCAAAAAGGGCTATTTGACATCAAGGTAAAGTCCATCCATACATTTTCATCCACTTATCTGAGGCCGGGTCGCGGGGGGCAGCAGGCTGAGCAAAGCCTGGTGGCTCTTTTTTTAAGAGGCTAAAAGAAACATTTTGCTGCTGCTCTTGTCCACAGTCACAAAACTCCTTTGACAGAAACTGTTATTTTACTTCACACAACACAAAGAGTTACTGGTTACTGCCTCTGATTGGTTAGTTTGTTTGGGTTATTGGGTGACTTTCAGAGCCAAATTGATCAACTGATAACGGGTGAGAGGGTGTTTCAAACAGAAAGCACAGAACGTTGATAGACCCAACCTTTATCTTACTAGATTGAAATTGTAAGACATTCATTCATTTTCCGTAACCGCTTATCCTGTTGGGGGTCACGGGGGGGCTGGAGCCTATCCCAGCTGACACTGGGCGAGAGGCGGGGCACACCCTGGACAGGTCACCAGACTATCACAGGGCTGACACATAGAGATACAGTACAGGCCAAAAGTTTGGACACACCTTCTCATTCAATGCGTTTTCTTTATTTTCATGACTATTTACATTGTAGATTCTCACTGAAGGCATCAAAACTATAAATGAACACATGTGGAGTTATGTACTTAACAAAAAAAGGTGAAATAACTGAAAACATGTTTTATATTCTAGTTTCTTCAAAATAGCCACCCTTTGCTCTGATTACTGCTTTGCACACTCTTGGCATTCTCTCCATGAGCTTCAAGAGGTAGTCACCTGAAATGGTTTCCACTTCACAGGTGTGCCTTATCAGGGTTAATTAGTGGAATTTCTTGCTTTATCAATGGGGTTGGGACCATAAGTTGTGTTGTGCAGAAGTCAGGTTAATACACAGCCGACAGCCCTATTGGACAACTGTTAAAATTCATATTATGGCAAGAACCAATCAGCTAACTAAAGAAAAACGAGTGGCCATCATTACTTTAAGAAATGAAGGTCAGTCAGTCCGGAAAATTGCAAAAACTTTAAATGTGTCCCCAAGTGGAGTCGCAAAAACCATCAAGCGCTACAACCAAACTGGCACACATGAGGACCGACCCAGGAAAGGAAGACCAAGAGTCACCTCTGCTTCTGAGGATAAGTTCATCCGAGTCACCAGCCTCAGAAATCGCAAGTTAACAGCAGCTCAGATCAGAGACCAGATGAATGCCACACAGAGTTCTAGCAGCAGACCCATCTCTAGAACAACTGTTAAGAGGAGACTGCGCCAATCAGGCCTTCATGGTCAAATAGCTGCTAGGAAACCACTGCTAAGGAGAGGCAACAAGCAGAAGAGATTTGTTTGGGCCAAGAAACACAAGGAATGGACATTAGACCAGTGGAAATCTGTGCTTTGGTCTGATGAGTCCAAATTTGAGATCTTTGGTTCCAACCGCCGTGTCTTTGTGAGACGCAGAAAAGGTGAACGGAGGGATTCCACATGCCTGGTTCCCACTGTGAAGCATGGAGGAGGAGGTGTGATGGTGTGGGGGTGTTTTGCTGGTGACACTGTTGGGGATTTATTCAAAATTGAAGGCACACTGAACCAGCATGGCTACCACAGCATCCTGCAGCGACATGCCATCCCATCCGGTTTGCGTTTAGTTGGACGATCATTTATTTTTCAACAGGACAATGACCCCAAACACACCTCCAGGCTGTGTAAGGGCTATTTGACCAAGAAGGAGAGTGATGGAGTGCTGCGGCAGATGACCTGGCCTCCACAGTCACCGGACCTGAACCCAATCTAGATGGTTTGGGGTGAGCTGGACCGCAGAGTGAAGGCAAAGGGGCCAACAAGTGCTAAACACCTCTGGGAACTCCTTCAAGACTGTTGGAAATCCATTTCAGGTGACTACCTCTTGAAGCTCATGGAGAGAATGCCAAGAGTGTGCAAAGCAGTAATCAGAGCAAAGGGTGGCTATTTTGAAGAAACTAGAATATAAAACATGTTTTCAGTTATTTCACCTTTTTTTGTTAAGTACATAACTCCACATGTGTTCATTCATAGTTTTGATGCCTTCAGTGAGAATCTACAATGTAAATAGTCATGAAAATAAAGAAAACGCATTGAATGAGAAGGTGTGTCCAAACTTTTGGCCTGTACTGTACGTTCACATTCACACCTACTAGCAATTTAGAGTCACCAGTTAACCTAACCTGCATGTCTGTGGATGGTGGGGGGAGGCCGGGTGCCCTTGGGGGACACGCCCCCACCCCAGGTTTCCAACCCCCAATCCCGGATTCGAACCGGGTACCATCTTGCTGTGAGGCGACGATGCTAACCACTGCATCACCATGACGCCAATTTTAAGACAATAAATTTTCAAAAATTTTGCTTTACCATGACTGTTTTTCATCTATTCTTATTTGTTTTCTTTTACCAGGGCTCCCATACAAAACAGACTAATCATGAAGGTAATTTTTAACAGGAGAGAGAGAGACTTCCAGTCTGACCCCACGCTCATACAGCAAATCCAACCTTCTTTAAAACCAGTTTCCACTTAGCTCCAGTCCAACAAAAACCAGCCAGGTTTAGCTCAGATTTTATTATCTTGCCACAATGACATGAAACTACTATACGAGGCATGCACACAGATAATGTTCATATGGTTAAAATTTACTACAATGCATTGTAAAAGCATTACCTGGCGGTAAGGCTCGTTTCTGTCACAGTGTGTGTGATTCACAGTTCTGTTCTTTCCCTCTCGAGACTGAAAGCCAACATACAGGTGGGAAGATGTTTGCAGTGACTAAACCTGTGTGTTTCCTTTTTGTTTTAACATGAGCACAATACTAGACACGTTTCTCTTTATGTACAGACATTCTAATACTGCTTATGGCAATGGGACAGCTCACACAACACAGTTACATTCACAATCCACTCATAGTAGGCATGAGTTTCAGTCAGGAACACTAGAGATGAACATACAGTAGAGTAGCACACAAAAGAAAACTTCATTTTTCATACATGTGACTTTGATATCAAAAGCATAACTGATGCATGTTAATAGTTTTACTCGGCTGCTTGTTGTTTAAATGTTTGTGAGTGTTTGTACATGAGATTTAGAAAAGACTCCGAAGGTTGAACTCGTGTATTGCCGTTAAATGAAGGAAATTAAAAGGATATGGCGTTTCTCCCATAAACCCCTGCTGCGAGCATTGGTTTGATTTACATGTACATCATATCAACGTAGCATATTTAAACCCAAACACTTAACTCATTCCCCTTTTCACTGGCAACTACTACGACATCCGGCATTTAATTGTGTCGTTGCCATCATGGCGGACCGCTTTCAATTCAATAGTGAGATTCAATAAATATTTACAATGCAGCTGTGGCTCCTCCCCCTCAACCGCCTTCACTCGCAATATTAGCAAAATATGTATTTACATGAGAAATAAATAAACAGAGAAGAAAATGAAACTATACAAGGAGTATAGTAGAAGTATCATATTGCATTACATGGATATAAAAAAATAAATTGTGACGCATTCACTCGATAAGTCCGTCCACATGTTCTTACTGATGTGACACTGAAAAGCACAGACAAGACAAATAAATAACACACACACACACGTACACACACGCACACACACGCTGTCTCTTCAGCTGGTCAGATGGAAAAAGCATCTCATGTCAATAAAATGGCCATTGCATGTTAAGCACAGACAAAGGAGAGATGATGAAGACTTGAAGTCATCAGCTCAACGAAAATAGGCAGAAAAAAAGAGGACAGGGAGAAGTGATCCTCTGCCCCGTCACTGATGTCAGCTTGGTTTGCCCCGTATGATAACCAATCACAGCTGATGGCCTGTCCTGTGGAACGGTCCCTGGCCATCGTTTATATGTACATAGGAGTCTCCTGTCCTGTTAGAAGTCTGAACATGGCTGCCGGCATCGTCTTCATGTGAATCTGGCAAAAAAATACACAACAATCTCGATTAAAAGTTCAAACATTTAGAGTGTTTCAACACAGCCTGACAAATTCATGACATGGACACTGTATCTACAGAGTGTGTTACGTGGTGGTGATCACAAAAAGACGCTCACTGACTTTGTATTGGTGTTTTTTGTGCTGCCAGCACAGAATTTTAACACCACCACATAATGTGTTGTTAAAGAGCTCATGTTCATTTCATGTATTTCTATGAGACTCATAGATATTTCATGCTGTAGATGATTGATTGTTTATTCTGGTTGAGGTTTCCCTACACATTTTCAAAAGGTAACTTTAAACCTCAGAAAATTCAACATTATCACTGTCTGAAGTCGCTCGCCAGTCACTGTATAGTCCACAATACAGTGTTGTCACTTGATTGTCTTATGAAAATAATTATATCCTCCTATAAGTCACGTGCTATGCCGTAGATAAGAGTTTAGTTACTCCAGCTTCTTCTTCCAGGTCTTGACATGTGTCACCGGCCACCTTATTAGGTACACCTGCTCTACTCGTTAACGCAAATAGCTAATCAGCCAATCACATGGCAGCAACTCAATTTATCTAGGCATGTAGACATGGTCAAGACGACCTGCTGAAGTTCAAACCAAGCATCAGAATGGGGGAGAAAGGTGATTTAAGTGACTTTGAACATGGCATGGTTGTTGGTTCCAGACAGGCTGGTCTGAGTATTTCAGAAACTGCTCATCTACTGGGATTATCACGCACAACGATCTCTAGGGTTTACAGAGGATGGTCTGAAAAAGAGTTGAACCTTGAGGCAGATGGGCTACAGCAGCAGAAGGAGTCATGGCGGAGAGGAAGAAACAATCCAAAATGTGGCTTTATTTCACAAAGAAAGAGGACAACAGTGCAACTGTAATGTCTGTAAAACGATAATTTCTAGAAAGGGTGAAAACACCAGCGATGTGCTGAAACATCTATCTACACGACATGGGCTCAAATTCCAGAAATGCAATTTATTTGACACCATCCGAGCAGCACTTTCATTACCGAGGGTAAATATCCTACGTTGTAATACCATTAGCACCACGCAGGTAGGCTTAGCAGAGTTTATCTTTGACTAAGAAAATCTAAATGAAAACAAATGCTGTACAAATATTCTCTCATTTCATCAACATAATAAAGCAACTGCGTCGATGCTGAAAGCCTGTGTAGGCGTTCTTTTTTTCCACACCGAAAACTGATCAGGAATCAGTAAGTGAATCAATAGAGTCGGGCTGATAACCACTGGTTTCTGTCCTGACTCTGGATGGTGGTTAAAAAGTAAAGGCTACAAAAAGCAACACTGCCTTTGTCCTTTTTTTGATTTGACTCTTCTCTGTTTGTAAATCCTGGTTGATGTTCTGGTTTTTATACAGCAGACCTATATTGTCCCACAGTGCAACATAAAAAAAAAGTAGTGTAAAATCGATGGCCACCAAACAAGATATATCGACCAACATGCAGCGGGCAGACAGCAAAAAAAGGGTAAATTTATATGGCAGCTGGGTGAGAGGAATGACCTCAGCAGACATTTTGATTTTGCAATCTTATACACTATACAGTCCTCCACACAGAGTTCGCTGTGCAGTGAGTAGTGAGGGTAGTAAATTATTCTGAACACAGCCTCAGACTCAAACACAGAAAATGACCGGACAAATACTTCCATTCAAAAGCTTCAATCGGTTGAAGCCAGCCGACCTTCCACAACAACAGAAACTTTTATACACAGTCGGGTTTTTCAGGTCTGAACATGCTGGATCCTACAATTCCTATAACGCCACTGAGCTGTATCTTCTGTTTGACTTTCATTGCCTGGTAAATGCCAACATCTTTCAAACTCAGCAGCCTTTACTCTATAAAGTGTCTCTAGAGCCACACAAGACTGTAAACAACAGGGCCGACAGTCGGCTGTTGGTCAATGTTGGGCTGTCGGTGAGCGTCTGAGGCCCTGGTTTTGGCAGTGTGTCTCACATTGTTGGCACTAATCGGCCCTTGTTGGCTTTTTTTTCCCCTGGCTGATTCAGCATGTTGAATCAGCGTCTGAAATGTCGGATCCCGTCGGTGAATGTAATCACTCTGATTGGCAATTCATCTCAGTGAACGAGATGAGAAACAGAAGTGAGGAAAGCAAACAAACGGCTACAGTCAAGAAGCCGTGAGATATATTAGGTAAGATTGTTTTTTGAGCTATTAACCAGAAAAGGTTAATGTGCTAACTGGTTAACTAGCATCATGAATCTGCTCTGTCGGTCTTCCAGTTTCAAATACAGACGAATAGACTACTGCCACCTGCTGGTGTGGAGAGTTATTTCCTTTCAGGCAGGCGCATAATGTACCTGCTAGAAGGGCATTAGCTGTAGTCTATGTGGTGTGTTCAGGTGCAATTTTTTGACTGGGACACAGGTAACGTGAGGCGACGCAACAATCGGTCTTCATCGCTACTTGTTCTTTGATGTCAGTTTGCTGTGTCAGGGCCATAAGTAGACAATCATTGATATGTGCTACATTTTTGCAAATGTGTACATGTGTGTTAGTGTGTGTGTGTGTGTGTGTGTGTGTGAGTGTGTCTGTGTGCATCAGTTTAACCTCGCCAACAGAGTTCGAGAGGGCCTGGACGATCTTCTCATGTGCTGTGGCCACCACGCTCTGCCCATTGATCTCTATGATCCTGTGACCCACGCGGACCCCACCTCGCTCAGCGATGCCTCCTCGCATCAGACTGCATATCTGACAAAAGACACACAAGGAAAAACCCTCATCATATAGGCCTTTTGGAAAAATACAGAGTAATGTACAAAATGAATGTGGCTGGAAGAGCAAAGTATCTGCAGTGATACAGTGATGGCATCTGGAATTGTGGCTGTGAGGTTAGGAGAGAGAGTTTACATTTAAAGGACGATGATACACTGATAAACGGCACATTACATCCTTGCTAAAGATAATGGGATTTTTTTTTTTAGCAAGGATTGCACTTGGTGTGTAAATACTGTTCAAGGCCAAATAGCAATTTATCACAACGCAGCAACTGACACAGAGTTTTCTTCAGTGTCCGACACAGAGAAAATAAAATAATGAGCAGATTAATCTAAACTGAGACAGGAGGGGGAAACATTTACATGCTGTACAGCGCAGGTACAAAATACACCGCAGTAAACATCAAAGTCAACAATTCACCCACGAGGAAAACAAAGCAAAGCAGTACATTTAAGTTATGTTTTAAAATGTTACCTTTTGTTAATATTAAGAATATCAAAGTAAGCATTCAGCACAGTCCTGGTTGACGGAAAGACTCCAGACTGATACTTACGATGCCGTTCTGGACACTGAAACCCAGCTGATACTTTAGATCTGGTCTCTTAATGAGGACGGTGGTAACAGGAGGGCAACTGACAATGTTCATTTTCACCTGAACCTGGTTCTTCAAGCCCTTTAACACACAGAAACACACAGACATTAAAATCCCGTCCAGTGTCATGGAAATCACGTGGCTTAGAACAATGTTTCATTATCATTTGGCTCTGTACCTTAATGATTCCCTGACATGTGGCGAGTGGCAGCCCCACTAGGCTGGTGTTGTTGATGGACATGATCTGGTCTCCGATGCTGAGCTTGCCAGAACGAGCCGCTGGCCCGCCGTTCATCATGTTGGCTAAGATAACTGTGGGCAGAATGGAGCCCCAGCCGGACTCCACTATCACCACACCCAGGATCTCCCCTTTACTCTTCTCCAGCTGCAGCTGTGGAGGAGGAGGGAGGAAGATGGAGAGCGAAAATGACACAGTTTGTTGGTCATTTTCATGTTTTATAATGTAGAGAAACTGAACATGATTAAAACAATATGACTGATGATTGATTCGAACTTATAACTGTGCAAAGACAGACTGAAAATCTTCCTCCCCTCAACAATTTTCTGTAGCTGATCAGAGAAACACGTGCTTCAGCTACAAATTGCTGGAGAATGTAGGGAATTCTCTATCATTCTTTTTTGATATGTGGTAGAAAACTCACTTTTCAGTCACATGAGAAAAATGAAATCTGTGGTATATAACGGCAGCCCTGGAGCTCAGAGGGTAGGGCCGAGAAATATCATGATGTGTGCAGCAAGGTGAGACTGTAAACCTGTCGCTTTTATATGCACGGTTGCGTTTGGTTGTATTTGTTCTTTAGAAAATTCCTAAGAAAAGTCTACATCAGATTCACGACACCTGTGTTTTTATCATAATTATCATCGTAAATTGACAGCGGGTGCAAATTAATCCCAGTTAACATAGGTTAACATCCTGCAACTCCCCATACAAAGGTATGAGACGCTCACATTTCCACTGTGAAAAGTTGTGGATGGTACCAATGGAACCATCCCGTACCGTCCCCATTTTTGGTCCCCCCTCTGTTGGGGTAGCTAGCACACAGATCTGCTACTAAAAGGTGGAGCTGCTCTGCTCAGGGCTGAGTTGTGGCTGGTTTTGAGGTTCATGTAACCACTGTTCACACCGTGGAGAGTTTTATTAGTAAACTGTCACTACAAAATAAAATGATTTGCTGCCTTTTGCAGCAGCTAAAGACAGAGAAAAAATAATTTAATTCACTGGGCCGTCTGCTGGCAACTTTTAAGGTGGAACTTGTACGACATACGATACAACATACACTTTTATTAATCTGGACCTGACCTGGTTATGTGAATGCCGTATATTCTAATCCTCACTCTGAGAAAAAAAATGCGTTGCAGAGTGTCGTTCTTGTGGGCTACGACAACACTAAACCCCTGCGCTTGCCTAAGAGGGACTAAAAGCACAAACCCGCTATTTTTAAACGTCCCATGGAGAGAGGCTCTCACTGCAGCCCGTTTTATTTCATTCTGAAAATGTCTGCGTGCAGCCTCGTTCTATGGACAATAAACGAGGTGCAGACTTCCATCTGTGTCACCAGTTATGGGGAAATACAGTGAGTGCTGGACGGAGCAGTGAATGACAACAGTGGAAACGCTAGGGTCTTGGCGCCATTTCTAAAGGGTTACTTCTGGGTTCAAGGGTACCATACTGAAAGTGTTTGGTGGAAATGGGGCTTAAGACTACTCATGAGTGTGTGTCGATTCTGTTTTTATCTAAGAACAACTGGTTGGTGAATGAGGCCCACTGTCCTGATGTAGAAAACGTTTCCCTGCTAAGATTCTCTGAACCAGCAGATGTGACTATTGTACACATGAAGCATTGAGAAGCAATTTTATTCTCAACACAGTTGAGACACAAGGGTTAGTGCTTAAAGATAGCCCAGTGTCCCCCATCACTAAAAATGAGTCATGTGCCTCTAATATAGCAGCTGCGTGGTGGTGGTGCCCGTGCAGCCTCTCTGCTCATACAGCAGAAACTGTTTCACGGTTTCTAATTCCCCAAAGCCTCCAGTAATGCTTTCAGGGCACAGTGTTAGCTAAAGAGGAAATGCTGAAGCAAAAAAAAAGCTAGAGTTGACATGCTCTGAGTAGATTTTACTGTACCATCTGCCTCTTAATCTGTCTAATTAGAACAGCTATCGTATACTTGTGTGTTTCTCTAATGGCCCTGCAGCACACATGTAAAGTCTCACACTGTTTATGCTCTTGTTTTTTTCCTGCATCAACACAAACCAACAAACATCTGCAGAAAAAAATCTATGATTGCGCTGGACGCTTAATTCAAACCAACCTCTTTGCAGTTTTCAGAGTTGGAGAAGTGAATGAGGTCATCATTGTACATCTCCTGGGTGTTGATGATGTCGCTGTACTCCTTCTGGCTCAGGTCCTCAGGGTTAATGCCATTGGCTCTCAGGAACTCCTGGTAAGCTACGCTGAACGCCTGGCCGATGGACTGAGCGATAAGCTGGGCCTGCGGACAGAAAACTCAGGAATCATGACCGAAACGTGTTTGTGGTCTTGTTTTGTTAGATCCAAGCTTATCTTCACTGAGTTGTATATAAATAACAATACAGTGGGAGGAACTGGCATCCGGTGGCATCAAACAATAGCTGCACTGAGGCTGCCAAGAATATGTTAAGGCATAATATCAATTGATTTTCACTGTCATGAGGTATTTGTTCTGATTGAGAGAGGAGAACAGAGAAGAAGAAACACAGGTGCACTTTACTGCACTAGTTTCAGTGAGAAGGAGTGAAGGTTACTGAAGACAAAAAAAACTTAAAGAAACTGTGATTGATTGAAGTTGATCCACAGATGTGCTTAAAGGAAAAAATACACACACAGAAAGATTAAAAATCAGTGCTATTGTTATCTAATGTCTGGGTTTTACTCAGTTAGAATTCCTTCAATGTTCATTGTTCAGTAGGTTTTTACCAGGAGCTGAATTGTCTGCAAAGGAGTCTTCCTTTCCAAAATAAACGGATCAGATAATAAAACCAGTAAAAGCAGTTATTAAAGCAGTGTAACGTTACACATTAGTGTTTCTTCGACGCTGTTTGGTATAACAGACACAGGCCTCTTTTCTAGCACCTGCTAATCTGTGCTCATCTTTTTACTCTGATAATTTCCAATCCAGACATTCAGGAGATTTTAAGCGGGAGCTGAATTACCTGCAGAGGTCTCTTCCTCTCCAAAACAAATGGACCCGGTGATTTACACCAGTAAACACACTGAGTAATAGCCTGGAAATCCAGACCCAAATCTAGAAAGATTTAGGGTCTGGCTATGAGTAATGAAAATGGCCCAACTCGAGGGGCAGCACCAAGCATGCATTTGAAAATATCACTGCACGCAATTGGATAACACTACGACCAATCAGAACAATACACGGGGTGCAGAGCTTAGCTACCAGCCGAGCTAACTGGTAGATTAGACTCTTGCCGTATCTGGTCGGCAAAACAGCAAAAACGTCCTTCTTGCAAAGGAAGCACCGTCTTCTGTTCCTCTTTTAGAGAAAAAGCCAAGTCTAACTCGTTCATTGTAGCGGCCAAAGCCGTTTCAAACAACTGGTGTTCATCCGTAGCCATCTTGCAATGTTTACTGACTGATTCCGGATTTCGTTGTCACAGCGCTGTCATCATTTGTTTAGCTCGCTTCTGGCCCGCCTATATCAGATACACCGATGTGACTGGTGCAGCTCAGCTACAAGGGCATGGGTAATGAGCATCATTACTGATTGCCAGAGTGACTCGCTGAGCAAATTCAAATTGTGCTCTCACGAGAACTCTGGATTTCCAGGGAAACTGAGTAAAGGAGTTTCACGGGAAAAAAAAAGGCTGTTTTTCTGATGCTCTCATCGCAGAGGGTCTGCAAGCTACCATGGCAAAAATGACAAAAACGTAAATGGCCCTATCTAGAGCCAGTATTTGATTTGTCCAATCTGGGCTACTGGAGAAACATGGTGATGCAATATGGCTATCTCCATGGATGAGGACCCACTCCCTATGCACCTATAAGCGGCTCATTCCAAGGTAACGAAAACGCAATGATAGTTATTTTCAGGCAATTTTACACTAAAGGTAACATACTTATTATATTATATTCCATTTCTGCCAGCACATCCCCCTTAATCCTGCACACTGGACCTTTAAAGGGGATCTGAGCTCATCTGTTAGAGTGCAAAAATAATTGGGAACCGCTGCTTTAAAGCACCCACCATCTTCACTCAAAGATATTTGCTGCCAAGTAAGTCAAAAGTTTACACAGCACACTGTGTAGAAGTAACAAATAAAACTTATCTTGGCTGTGAGAGATAAGACAGATCAAGAGAGAAAAGGGCGTACGTCATTTCACAAGTTATATTACCCTATTTTCCCCTTTAATTGAATTCCATACGTGCATATAAATCTCTTGCAGAATTTGCAGACATTAACGGCCCCAAACACTCAAAATCAATACACTGTGAATTAGTTTTGCAGAACAATAAAAAAGTCAAAAATAGGCAAACACTGCACGCAGCCAGCGGAGCTACAATAACAGAAGCAGTTTATAAGTTGATGGATGAGCGGCTGAATGGTTCTATTATAACTCTGGCCGGCCTTTAAAACCTGGCAGCAAAAATTAGACGAAGAGGGGACAGATTGGAGTCCAGCTTTTATACTGACTGGCACAGACACTCAGTTTGCTGGCTCCTCTGTGTAACATTGCTCACGTTGCCAAGTCTTGCTGAATCTGCTTCAACAAGACAAGCAGCAGCTCTGTGTGGTAAAAAAAATAAAATAAAATAAAAATGCCCAGCCAATTTACGCCATTTAATGTCCGAGGTATTAAAGTTCAAACTACTTTTTTCTCTCTCTCTCTTTTTTTTTTTTTTTCTTTAGAATTTCTATATATCATATTGATGGCAACATTTGCGACAAATGAGCGTATGAAGAAATAAAATGATGTCTTGGAGCCAAACGGAGGAAAAGACAATAAAAACAAATCATATCTGTGATAACTGGGACGCAGAAATAATATCCAACAATTCAGTAACACTTACAAAGCAATAACAAGTGTCATCTCTTTCCTATCTTTAGATGTTGGAGGATTCATCTTCCAAATGAGTCTCCTTACATAATGACAGAACAATAACCGTGTGATTTCCTTTAGCACCCGTCATCTGTGTGACCTCTCACCTGCTTGCAGCCAGAGTGATGTAGAGCTCTCACTTTCTCTCATTAACACATTAACAGCAGGTTTATGATTTGAAAATACGTTAAGCACTTACATCTTCCGACTCAAAGACATGGCATATCATCTTGTACTGCTTCTTTGCCTCGGGTGCCCCGGGTGTAGTTTCAATACAGTCCTGGGAGGCTGTGCGTGGCATCCGGCGTCTCGCCATCAAGACCACGATGTTCCCAATATCGGCAATGTAGGATATGGTGCGGAGAGCGTTGTCCATCATCGTTTCCTGTAGATACAACAACAACAATCATATACATCAAGACATTATGTATGGAAGTGCCTACTGTATGCTAATTCACATTTTAAATGTACAGGAGCTTTATACGACATTCAGAGCATTAATGTAGCAGCAAACTGTTTGCTTTTTTAGAACATAGTGGCGAGACTTTAATGCTTCAATCTGAGCTCCTCTGTTTTTTGTTGTGGAAGCAGGTCCAGCAGTGGTTGCATGTTTATGTGTGTCCCACTGGCTAGCTAGTCACCGACGCTCTGCACTGCATTCATATTTTGACTACCTCCAAGCCAACATTTCTTGTGGGGCCCACAAGGGTAGTAAATGAGCTGAATAATGGGCCCGATATGGGATTGTCCACAGGTTCCATAATGGCCCCATGCTGATTGACCACATGGGTGGTTTTCACCCAAGTGGGCGCCAGATAAGATAAATCCATTTTGGGCCCATACCCACTTGGTTCCCAGGTAGCCCGAGCATAACCCATGAGGGACCCGCTTAGGTAAAACCACCCATGTGGGCAATTGGCATGGGGTAGTGATGGTGAAATCGAAGCTTCATGAAGCAGTGAACCACTTTGACACAACTGCTTCAAGAATGACACACTGCTTCAAAGCATTTCATACAGTCAGAAGAGTGACATCTGCTGGCTGTATGTCAGAACTGCATCTAAGTGGAAGACCTGAAAAAGCCCCAGGACTGCCTGTAACGAGGCCTCGCTCTCAGTACTCACGTGACTGTGGGCGTGTCAAAGCAGGGATCGAAACTGTTCCACTTCAAAAGATCAACACTGTGTCTAGCAGACTGGCTCGAGCGTAACATCACTAGCATGGGGTTATCATGGAACCCATGCACAATCCCATATAGGGCCCATTTTTCAGCTCCTCTACTACCCACAAGGGCCCCACAGGCAAATGTTGGCCGGGTGATAAAGCCGTCACAACACACTGGCTCGCCTGCATTGTTGCCCCAGGTTGACACTGTTAGCTCTGTCAGCACTGTTGCTGTTGTTAGCACTGTTAGCTGCTAGCCACAGACTCAGCCTCCTCCATGTTGAGAACTGTGTGTAGACAAGTCCAGACTCTGGATCATAGTCGAGCTTTGAATGTCATATAGAGCTTCTATAATCATTTTATATATGAAAACATTTTGGATTCACAGCTATAAGACCTGATACTTGAAACAAAAAATATATGACACAGAGATTTAATGGCTCAGTCTCTCTGGACCAACTCCTGAAAAGCTGATGATGTCATCAATGCAGGTCTTTATTCACTGATTTCCAGGTGATGAAGATGGCTGGGTTTATGACCGTAAATATCGACTTCACTGCAACAGCAATGCAATGGAAATAATTGTTTTCACGTTTCATTTTTTAAATTGTGAAAATGTGGTTCCCTGGGGGCGGTGGTAGCTCAGTCCATAGGGACTCGGGTTGGGAACCAGAGGGTCGGTTCAAGTCCCTGTCCAGACCAAATATGGAGTGTGGACTGGTAGCTGGAGAAGTGCCAGTTCACCTCGAAGGCACCAAACCCCCTACTGCCCGTGATATCCGCCCATTGGCAGCCCCCTAGCTCTGACATCTCTCCATCTAATGCATATATAGGTCATGTTTGTGCATGTTGGCGTGCTTGGGGCCTGTGTGTGTATCACAACAGAGTGAAAAATTGAATTTCCCCTCGGAATTAATAAAGTATATCTTCTATTTTCATGCAGGAGCGGCTCAGTAAAGTAAACCACTGAACTACAAAAAGTAAACAACTTTACTATGAACTACTATATGGGCAATAAAATTTAGCTTACATTCTTACCTTTAAATAAAATACAATATGATTGTCATCACAGAGTTTGCAGAGTCTCTGGTTTCTATCCAGCCCTTTATATTTTCCAATGCCTTCAAATGAATGATACTACCATAGCTTTGAGAAATATTTTCCAGCTGTTACTTTTAATTATCCCGTTTCCTCTGATCACTAATGTCTGAAAATTAAAGCACTGGTGTGCTGGATTCCTTTCTTTGTCAAAGCTGCGTGATCCTTTCAGGGAAGAGCGTGAGATAAAAGTTCTGTTCATAGAAAACCAACAGACCTTCTTTTCAGTGAATTCAACACTACTGTATGATCTGATTACGGCCCAATACACCCCGATGAATTAGATCTTTGAGTACATGTTCATCTGACAATAATGAACAGGTGCTCCAAAAAACCCCACTCTGGATAGCAGAGTGTTTGTGTTGATGAAAACTAAGCGATTTGAATCATGTAATCATGTTTGTTCATTCGGCCAAATAATTGTCTCGTGTCATGATGTAGATAATGAAACGCTGTCTCTGAATGCAGCCGTGAAATTAAATGTGCTCTGGTATATGTACAGTATGCTGTTCCTGTAATGTAGCTCATGTGTCTTGTGTAGCTGTCATTACACCTGCCGAGGGACTACGGTCAAACACAGGCACATTTACATAAGTGTTTATTAATGTGCGCTGTCCCTGCTATCTTAAACTGTAAAAAATATATATATGTAAATAGATGGAACAGCTGTTTAGAGACGATTTGGACTCTGAAGGGGACTCTGTGGGACATTTGTTAATGTTTTATGATAAAACGTTAACTTTCATTTCAGTCTAGTTCACTTCATTAACTGTGTCTGGTGGTTTTTATTACAGTTGCCTAATTATTGTTGTTGTTCCAGCCCACCTTCGGAGTTGTTCTTATTATGAATCAATGTCAGAAACCCCATGCAAGCTGCATCGAGCATTTTTAATTGCAGAACAGGCTTTTTTACTCAGAATCTCTCTCTCAAGAGTGCCAGGATCAGTGGCAACCAGATGGAAAAGGGAGGAAGATATAAACTGCATTGCAGCACGTTGGTTTCTGCCAGGCGGCTGCCCACACACGCGCACCACACACACACACACACACACACACACACACTGAAACTCAGACGGCCAGACAGCAGCTCAGACTGAAATACTGCAAATGAATCATCTATCACATATACATTTAACAGCGAGCGCAAAGCTCTACTCGTGATCCCAAGTATTGCAAAGCTCTCTGAAGCATTTCTACTTCTATCAAAGACTCCTCCTCCTGTGAAGACTTGCACTGCTGCTTCACACGGCGGCTCCTTGTGAAGCTAAAAGCCAAGAAAACTTTTGACAAAGCCTCCGCAAGAGTGGAGGCAAAATCTGTCAGAGAAAATCTGACAGAAAAATTTTGATTTTTCATTTATAAAGACTCAGAAAGTCAAACTTCAGTCTGGATTTTAACTTTCTGACTGTCTGTCTGAACAATTCGGGAAACCTAGTTCATTTTGTAACTTTGACAGACTTTTGACAAATGACTAATTGAATGCAGGAGTGGTCATGGCGCTCTTATGCTAGAAACAAGCAGGGCAGAGTGTGTTGCAGTCAAACAGCTTGCACAGTACATGCTCTCTAAGTCACCCTCCATGCACAGATGTTCATGCAGCATTTTTTTTGGCTTTGCAGAGTCTATTCTTATCCTCAGTCAAAGAATTGTGACATCATGAGATTAAACAAATAGCAATCGGTTGTGGGGTTTCATAAGAAGCAGTTTATGTTGACAGTTAAGCCGCCGGTTATGCCAGCTATGACACGACAGTTCTCCCCTGATGTGTGGCCTGGCTCAGTGTGCGGCCGAGCTGCTGTCAGATTAAACAGCTTTTTACTCCCACAGGTGATACAGAACATTTTGGGCAGAGACACGCGTGTGTGCTGGCTGGTACTCACCTGTGAGTCCGCGTTGAGGACTTTGATCCTCTGGGTGGAGATGAACAGATCGACCTCGGTGAGGGTTTGAGCATCTCCGTCTGCACTCTGCAGCAAAAATAAACCCAAACAAACAAAAGAGTTGGTCAGCTCAAATGTAGATCTTTGTACCAAACCTGACTGGTAATGGTTAACAGTAATGTACAACTGCCTGGCATGTGTGTTAAATGCTGGGAAAGTATAAGTTTAGATATCCACAATGCATGCATGTATAGTTTAGGATCCAGCTAGGAGAATGCTTGTTAGATGGGCAGGTTGTTGAGTCTAAAGGTGAGGTGGAAAAAGCAGAAAAAGAAAGCTTTTGGCAGTGGTGTTAGTTTACATCAACTGTCCTGGCATGGCGATGGCAAGCTGGCAGGGAAACTAGAAACAGCTTAACACTAAACCCTTACCAGCTGGCTGTTTTGCCTTTGAGAGCAATGCAGCTTCGGCACAGAACAAGCCTGCACACATTTGACTCTAATCACAGTGTACTGCAAACCAGTAAAATTATATTTGATTTCTCTTAATTAAAACTGCCTTGTGCAATAAGGCGAAAATATTTATCAGAAACATATAGCTGTGATTAAATATTTCACGCACGGAGACTGTGGCTTGTAACATTCATTAGCACTTTCATTTTTAGTGCACGGAAACTACCCAAAGATTAAAGATTAAAGAATATAATTCCTTTTTGGGTGTAACTACTTTCCCGTCTATTTTCATTTGGTGAACATTTATAATTGCAGCCATACTTCTGATTAAAAATCCAACATGTCCACAGAGGCTATTGTTGAAGGAGAAATGAGAACCAGCCTTTTATGATGACCTCTGCCTGTATGACTGGTGCAGTGCAGGATAAGAAGTCTAGAAGGATGCAGTTCTCATACTAAAACCTCATGTTTACCACCAAAGTGTACAATTACAGCTAAACTGTGATGTCATTATGCAAAAAAAAAATAATAAAAGAAATAAAACAGAATATAAAACCAAAAACAAAATGGGACCATGAATGTAAAGCATCTTGTTAATAAAGAGGGGCGGGAATGAGTCTGAAAACCTGGAAGTGAGTTTGCATTTTGGCACTTCTGGTTCCCTCTACTCAAAGTCAGTGGGATTTTATGTTTAAATGCTTGAAATAAGATCTGTGGTTAACACAAGCTTAAGACACTTCCATGTTTGTTTCAATGACATATAATACTTGCTTTTATGTGTCTTAAAAAAGGCTGATGCTAACAAGTGGCTAAATTATACCACAGACTGTCATCATGCTGAACATAGTCACTACGTGAGATTAGGCCACTGTGGAGTCATAAAATCGTGCCATGACTTGGCCGGCAGACATGACACACTACACAGTGGTCCACACCAATCATCCCTGATTGTCTTTTACTATGTGTGTGATGTCACTGAATTATTCTTGTCCTATTTTTATTATTATTACTATTATTTCAGTCACTGTGTCTGTTCCTGTGCCAGCTGAAATGTTATTGTAGTAACAATGAAAGTGCCAGCAGATGACAGGAGCTACATTTGAAGTACTGTACGCAAACATACAAGTCACTGAATCCTCCACGATAATTTCCTGCAAATGTTTCACAATGAAAGCCTTTTTAGAAAATGAAGGGATTCTCGCAACAAAAATTATAAGGGGCTTTTAATTTGAAACAGATACAGGAAGTGTTGCGTTTGAAATGACGGCGCGATCCATTAACTTTATCAAGGCAAACGGGAGTGGATTAAAAGTAAAAACAGGCAGTTACAGAGGGAATAATAAATAACAGCCCATTTCTAATGTAGTCTGTTTCAAGCTGGTAGCCTCTGCAGTTGTGGTGAGTAAAAGCCCCGCCACTGTCTTTTAATTTTATTACTTTATATTTGTCTCCATTATAAAGAAGTCTAGCTTGATGCTAATGGCAGAACTCACCAGGTTGATAATGTATCTCTGCTGTTTGACGTCATTGTTTTTCCTTTTATATTCTGTCGTGGTAACATCCCTAGAGGATACATCAAAAGGGCTGGGGTGTTACTGATAGACAGTTGTGTACGGCAGCAGATCGCTCTATGTTCCTCTGTGTTCCTATTGGTCAAAGTGACGGCTGTGACTGAAGAAGTCATGAGCAACAAAAATAAAATCAAACATGCTAGACTTTGTCAGGACTTCGTGAGGCATCCCAGATGTGGCGTCGGTTGTCGTCTACTATGACACACTACACGAGATGAAACAACGGTTTATCACGTACAACACTCATTGTTGTTCACGATCCGAGCAGACAATGCAACGCTGCGTCGGGCTATAATTGGGCTGATATTGTGTAGAGTGGTGTTCATTTGTGAAGCTTGCCTTGTTGAAGAAAACATGTAAGAATCATTAACGTTTGTTTGCCACCGAGCTTATTTTCTGCAGTAATCCAAAATCCAATGGAAAACTCCCACTGGCTTTTCTGTAGAGGGCACCAGGGCCTACAGAAAAACATCATCCCTGCAGCGCTCTATAACCATCTCTTTAAACAGTGCTGAACTGTTAAGTGCTTCTTAGTTTTTCATAACGCTGAGCCTTAAATGCATGCTCATAGCTGAGGTTGTTGATCCTCCTCTCTGCTCTATCTCAGGTTGGCCAAAGTTTAAAATGTAAATTGCAGCGAGTAATTTTTCTGCTCTCGCTGGTGAAAACTGTGTTAAACACACAAAAATTAGGCATGCACTGAATCACAATCTCCCAAATACATAATTTAACTTACTTGAGGGTGACAGCAGTGTAAGAACTAAATGTGAGAGAAGTATTTGCATGCACTAATTAGAGCTGCAGCCGGTGACACGAGCTCTGCACTGGGTGAGGAGATGATTCTCAGTGTTCTCTCCACTAAATTAGAGGTTTGTGACCTGAACTCTGAGGTGAAAGGTTATTCAGCATGTTAAAATACCTAAGCTAGACAAAATATTTCAATTTCTCTTATCATTTTTGTCACTGGGGTATTAGTGGAAAATAGTTGTTAGACATTTCTACTGTCTAAAAATCCTCCATCATTAAAACACCAAATCCTCCAAAGCTTCTTCAGTTTAACAAAAGAACGTTGATTTGACTTTAAATGTTATTAACAGCACTTATGTTACTCAAAGTACCAGAGGATTACTGCTGCACTTGGTTAGGGAGTGAAAAAGCAGGTATCAGTTCTACGACAGACATAACTGGAGCTGAGAATTCTTAAAACGCCGTCTTTCATGCTTAATGACATGCAGATGATACATTGATGTACCTGCCTGTGAGATCCACAGACCCTGGAATGATGTGTTCACTCAATGACTACCGCACTGATGTTAAAAGCTGGACGTCAAAAACTTTTCTTCAGCTTAATTCAGACAAAACAGAGACTGTTGTCACCGGGCCACAGCACGCTACTCAACAACGTGTCTTTGGCTGGTCCCCTATTGGATAATATCAAACCTGTTGCAAGAAATCTGGAGTCTGGTTTGACAGTAATTTAAATTTTGAGCAGCGTGTCACAAAGCTTGTGAAATCATGTTTTTATCATCTTAGAAATATTTGAAAATTCCGATCCATTTTAACTTTTAAAGACACAGAGAGACAAATTTACATGTCTTCATCTCTTGATGCTTGGATCACTGCAACGGCCTCTTTTCTTGCCTGAATCAAAAATCTATTAATCGACTCCAGACTGTTCAGAATTCAGCTTTCAGGCTTTTAACCAGAACCAAGATACATGATCACATCACTTCAGTTTTAGCCTCTTTACACTGGCTCCCAGTATGTTTTAGAATGGATTTTAAGATTTTACTGATTACTTTTAGGGCTCTTCATGGTCTCTCTCCAGCTATATCTCCGATCTCTTTGTACCATACGTGCCAGGTCGACTTTGAGGTCCTTGAGCAGCAGAGGTCTTTTGATTGTCCAAGAGGCTCAACTGGAAACTAAAGGGGACGGAGCATTTGCTGTCAGGGCCCCAAGGCTCTGGAATAATCTGCCTGAGGAAATCAGTTCGGCCTAGTCTGTGATCACTTTTAAGTCCCTTCTATATTTTTAATTGGAGAGCCTTTCCTGATTTTATTTGAGTTTTAAGTTCATTTAGACTGTCTTTTATTTCCTCAGTTTTTACAAAAGTGTTTTTATCAGTTGTTGTTTTCATGTCTTGTCTGTTTTGATTAATGGCATGTTAAACACTTTGTAACTGTTTTGAAAAGCGCTATATAAATAAAGATCATCTTTTATATCATATGACAGTTTTAAAATATGTACTCCATTTTTTTCTGCCCATAGAGTACCATCCAACCAATGACTGATCTGATTATATATCCCTTCATGTGTTTATTTCTGGGGTCCCACTACTTCAATTTTTAAAATAAAGTTGCATGTGTCAGTTTTTCTTCCTGAAGCTCTTAGTACATTTAATTTTTGTCTGTGTGTTTGATGAAATTTTCATCATTGGGTTGCTCCCTTAGGGGGGCACCAAAGAGCCACGGGGGGGTCGCAAAGCCCTCTTGATTTTAAGGGGTGTAATAATTTTAATGTGTGAAAAACATATAAATTTAAGGGTTATGTTAAAAGCTTATTTATCTATTGAAAAATAAATAAATAAATTACTACGTGTATCACAAGTATAGGTGTGTAACAGGTACGGGGGGGCACCAAAGTCTACAATGGTAAAAATGTGGGTCCCTCAAGAAAAGGAACCACTGTTTTAGATAATAAAAGCTTCTAACTTCTATTTGTAAATTTAAGTTATAATGTCTATGTATTAATGTACAACATTCTGCATTTACGATTACCTTTTTTATATCTTCATGGGAAGTGTTAGAATGTATAAAAGTTTACAAACCTGCCTAATACAGTCTCTTCCATTGATTAACCAGCTGTGAACACACTGTTCCTTCACTCCTACATTCAGTAATCAAGAGCTTTGGTGCTTCTGGGCAACATTTCCCTCCGCATGTTTAATAAATACTGGAGGCATATTTGCATTGTTCTGCCCCTAAACATCAACTGTTACTTGCCATTTTGATGGGAAAAGATGTCTATGTTTAAGCTTTTTTGCATTCTTGGCTACATTCTTTTTCTATGGTCATTACACTCTTAAACATACATTTATAATTTCATGAAACAATTAGAGTTATTGCATACTTATAACTCTTTCCCACAGGGTACTGCACAGGTTAATCCACAGTAATGGCACTGTATCAAGAGCAGAGCAGAAATACAGCCTGGAGCTTCTCCCATTGTGTCCTGCTGGCATGTCTTCTGTTACCGTGTGGTCACAGTGGTTGCTGTTGTTAAATTTGGCTTTTAGCAGTTCTCAGTCGTGTGCCTCACAACACACCTTTAAGCTTATGAAAGATGCTCACTGCCAAAATGCATAGCCACTCACATAAATCAAAACACACTGGCTTTAGTTCTGGAAAAATCTGACAAAGATTTGTTCGACCAAATTAACGAGCACAACAAATGTGACAAAGACACAGATGGCGGACGAGACACGCAAACAGACAGGCACAAATGATATGAGAAAACAAAAGGTGAGAGTGGAGGGAAAGTGGCCAAAGGGTCTTCCTTTTGCTCTGTTTATTACACACCGCCTTTTTCTTGATTTTGGCAGCCTTCTGTACCCTCTGGCAGGCAGGCAGGCAGGCGTTGGGATGAGACAAGGTCAGCGGATACGGGAGCACAAAAAACAGGAGGAAGAGGAGGAGGAAATAAAGAAGGTAAATAAAAGAAGGTAAGACAGTAAAGCCCTAAACCAAACAGCAGGTGTGCTATCGCTGCTCTCAGAAACAGAGAGGAAGAAATACAGAGAGAGAAATACAGAGAGAAAGTGTGTGTGTGATTGTGTATGTATGTGTTTGTGGAGATAGCGTTCGCACAGCCGTGTTGGTTATCAGATACAAATCAAAACAGCAATTACAGAGGGTAATAATTGCTTTTTCTCCTTTAAACACAGCAAATCAAAAGCATGCAGATATGAACTGACATTGTTCCTGCAATCTTGGCATCCATTTAAAGCTCTATTAGGAGCGTCTAGAGGGGTTTTTTGGATGTTGTTTAATTATTGTTATCAGTGTTAAAGGCTCAGTGTGTAGGATACAGGGGGGTATATTGGCAGAAATGGAATATAATAATATAATAAGTATGTTTTCTTAGCGTATAATCACCTGAAAATAAGAACCTGTGTTTTCATAACCTTCAATTGAGCCAATTATATCTACAGAGGGAGTGGGTCCTCTTCCACAGAGTCCACAATGTTGCACAGCTATGTTTCTACTGCAGCCGAAAACGGACAAACCAAACACTGGCTCTAGATAGGGCAATTCGCATTTTTGCATTTTAGCAGCCAATTTGGTTTCAGTCCGAAGTCATCGAAATCTGCCGCTTGGGTGGTGACTTACAGCATCAGACACTGACGAAACTTTGCTTCATCTATATTAGGGTTAATGTATTTGGAACTGCCCATTGGTTCGACATCCCATTGTTCCGACCATATTAATCCCATTGTTCTGAAGTTCCGTTGTTCCGAAATCATCATGATGCCCTGTGGTTAAGATCTGGTTAGGTTTAGGCACAAAAACCACTTGGTTAGGGTTAGGAAAAGACAAACACATAAGCTGTGAGCCTGCTTCGCCTCAAGCCTTTCCCAGCTGACCCAGAGCCAGTCGCGGCGCACCATCAAGGCAGAAATACGCCTGCCGGGAGCCGTTCAGCACCGTGGAGAGCTCCCCACATAACCCGGACCCCAGAGTTAATAACAGGAGGTTATGGTGTTTCACTCTCTTCTCTCTATGACACTTGTATCTCTACCAGTAGCCTACTTTTGTTGCATTGCTGATCCTCTATGGCACACAAATACAGTATAACCTAGTATAATCACATATCGGAACAACGGGACATCGGACTAATGAGAGGTCGGAACAATGAGAGGTCAGAAAAATGCTACAGCACCCAACCAACACACCCAGGACACCTTGCATATCGTATGTGGACGTTGAAAGTCCACGAAAAAACGTCAATATGTGACAAAGTCGGAGTGAGAATGCTTTGTAGTAGCGGCTAAAATCAAACAAGGTCAGAAAAACACTGACTTTAAGTGTAAACTGCTTTTTTCTGTGTTTTTACCAGTTTAAATCACCGGGTCCGTTTGTTATCGAGAAGAAGAAGCCTCTGCTGATAATTCGGCTCTCAGTTACCACCTCCTAAACATCTGGATCAGAAACACATTGACTTATGAGAAAAGAAAGGTGAGCTCACATAAGCAGGCGCTGGGCTGATGGCCCCTCTGCGACCTGCTGAACAGCATTGCACGAACACTGATTTGTAACATGAAAAGGCTTTATCGCCTGCTCCCTTTATTTCGGAGAGGAGGAGACCTCTGTGGATAATTTGGCTTCCAGTGAAAAACCTTCTGTACAATGAACACTGAAGGAATCCTAACTGGGAGTTCACGTTTGGCACATGGGAGAAGTGTCAGCCGGTGCCAATCTGTAGTCCTACACTCTGCTCCTTGACTGTTACAAGTGTCAGTTTTGTGGTCAGAAAATGTACTAAAAGAAAGACAGATGGTGAGGCTCCCTGTACTAAAACCACTAACAAAGACAACAATAGTCTATGATTCAGGTTGTGTATGGGGACAGCTCCTACCACCTTCTATGTTCATGTCACAGTCTAAACACTATTACCAGGAAAGACATGCTGGAGAACAATCACCGCTCACACAGGCAGGGGAGGGGATGAAGCCCAGAGCAAAGATTTAAACTGAGCGCTGGGGTTTTGTTCTCTGGGCTGCATACATTAAAAAAAAAACATGACAAGGTCGAGTCACTATGTTTGGAATTAAACAGCTTAGATCAACATGGAGGCAGTTTTACACAGCTAATGCGTTTGATTAGTTAATCACAAATTCTGGTCTTGGCGGGGGCCCGAACTTACACTGATAATCTTTTGGAGTACTCTTAGCACTTTGTAATCTTTCAAAATCAACCCTTCTGTATGAGGTTCAAGCTGAGAGACTGGCCTGCTCTCCATCTGCCAGTGACCAGAGGAAATTATCTTGACCTTCATTACATTTCAGTGTGTGAGACTGGATGTTTGCCCGAGTCACTGTGCAGAGCTGTAACTGCGAAGACAGTATTAGTAACAAGAAGAAAAAAAGAGAGCAGAGAAAACAGCCCAAAGGGAAGAGTCTTTTTTGGGTTTTCGTTTTGTAAAGTTTCCTCCTCCATGATCAGCTCTCACGCAACACAGACATCTGAGGCTTTCAGCAGCATCTACTGCTCTGCTGAGGAGGAGCTGAGCAGGGAGGGGATCGACAGCAGGAAAGAGTGAGTGGGGGGGGGGTGAAGCTGCATAAATATTACATCAAACAGAGTGATCATGCCAAAAAGATCTGCATAAATAACCTGTACAGCCTCGCTTGCTACAATTTACCTGGCATACTTCTGTGTTGCTCAGTTCAGCACTACAGGCTCTGCATGCGTCCCTGTGCTTGTATATACCACACGTGCTCTTGTTCCGGTTGATCCGGAGCAAATATACAAACAGGGCTGCACATTACTGCATGTGTGGTCGGGTTTGTGTGTGCAGCCGGCTGTGTCCGCCTCAATGTCAAAGATTAAATGTCGTTTGCTCTACAGCTTTTCATTTGTCCACGAGGGACGAATCAAGGAGATAATGGACGACTTCTTGTTCAATGGACCCGTTCCAAGCGGGGGAAAGCGCTAAAAGGTGACAGCTAACTGTTGCCATGGTTTCATCCTGACAAGACTTTTTGCAGGGAAGGCAACTGTGCATGACAGAGAGAGTGAGTGAGTGAGTGGGAGAAGAACCGAACACAGATTGGGTGGATGTGAAATGATGCTAGTAGACATCCTCACTGTGGTGAAGAGGGCTTTTAGATTGAAACCAGCCAAGTGGGCCAAACCACTTTCAGATCCTGCACCATGCTCCACAATGCCCTTTGATTCTGCTGTGACCCTTCAGAGTGGACTTATTAGAGAATACTTTAATTAGTAGCCCAGGCTATTATTTGCCCAAATCACTGAAGTCAACAGGCTTATATTAGGCTTTGAATAACATACCAACACAACACCACTCGATCCTGTTAAAACAATATTCACAACTGGATTGATTTTCATGAAAAACCCTTTTGATTCTTTTAATCAGTGGACCCTTACAGACTAAAGGGATATGAATAACTTAGTGGGTAATCAAGGAATGGATAGATATTCTGACTTTATGACAGCTTCAGGGGCAGGACGTTACCCTGTTTTTTCATCATGCCAATAAATCTGACTTACGTTCTTCTCTGGTGCTCATGGTTTCAGTCAAATGAACTAGACGATTGAATTGTGGAGCATCTAACAGAGCTAAAGATGTGTAGCATCTCCATATTCTCAAAAGTTTAAACATTTATATCTCTATGTGCGATCTAAGTAAGTGGGTAGCCAACAACCTGGTTTTATACATCCAAAGAACCTCTATTAAATTAAACTGCTTGGCAACTAGACCAGGCGTCTAGCTGAGACAGGCCTTTGCCAAAATGTGTAGCCACACATGTGGGCGTTTAATTGGGACTAGGCTTTTAATTGAAGTTTTATGGTACTTCCCCCCCAAATGATCATTTGTTTGTCAGTCATCCTGTGCTACCTTGAAGAAAGCTTTGTTTTTTTTCACGTGTCCACTGAGAACATATCCAAAAACTGGGAAAATTCTTGAAGAATTAAAGTAAAATTGGGGCTCAACAACAGTGAAACTATATTAAAACATTCGTTTACAAACTTGTGTGCTCAGTATTTCCCAAACACATGCATTTTCACTTAAACCGTCCTATTTAAAACACTTCGACATTAACAGTCTCACACACGGACGAGTAGTGTTTATGCAAAAGTGTTTTTAATAGTCAAGTTGTACTGAAAATGCATGTGTTTGGGAAATACTGACCATGCAGCTGGATAAATCAGACTACTGATTATACTGTCGGAGCTTATAAAAGGATGTTTTGACATAGCTCTGCTGTTAATAAACTCGGTCCCCTTTTACTCTAATCCAACAAGAACGTTTGCCTTTTTTTTGCCACAGCGGAGGCATGCGAGTAAAATAGTTTTCTTCTGGAATTCAACATGACACGAGGTGCCTAGTTGACATACAACTGATCATTTGGGGGGTGAAGTATTCCCTTAGGGATACGGGGTTGAATCTTTGATGACAAAATGTAATTTCACTTGTTTAAGTCACCAGTAGTGGCTCACAAAAAAATCATAACAGACTTTTGACTGTGCCACATTCATGGTTTAGGATGAACGATAATGATTATGGCTAACTATCAAAACTCAACACATTTTTAGTATGGATTGGAAAGTGTCTGCGGGACCAAGTATCGACCGGCAGTCGGCACTGAATGCCTTGTCTGAGTTGTAGTTTTGCTAACCTCAATCAGATACTTACTTATTTAAATTAATGATTTAATAACTTTAAAAAGTGCTCGACAACTTTTAATATTTGAAAAGTCTGACATCTGTGGTTATGCAGAAAAACATGTTTATATTCCTCGAATAATGGAATAAAACAAGTACTGTTCTGCTACATGTACCAAAATTCTAGTATTGCATTGAACTAGACAGCCGAGATACACCATATTACAACAGATTTTACACGGACACTTTTTGCATAATTATATTTGCAGGCATCAGTAGCTATTTACGGCCCTCTTCAGCCACAATTTGATACACATTAAGACTCATTTTTGAGCCAGCACAAGGACCACTAACCCTCAATCCTAAGTAGAGGTGGAACAAATTACACTACAGTGAGGCATGTAGAATTAAAGGATGGAGCTGTGTGCTAGGACTATTGAATTATTAGGACAGAGCCTCGGTAATGTGAGTCTTTGCCTAATGGAAGATCCAAACTATATGTTTATTTACTTACTGTTACCAAGTATAAGGAGCCTGTTAGACGTGGCTTAAATAGAGATAAAAGGGCATTCATTGGCACAGACTGGAGTTCACTGTAGGCGACTGCTCTTTACCTTTTCATGCAACTCTGACATTTGCTGATATCATGCACCTTGAACCTCAATCAGGAAATGTGACCTTATATTTCCAGGAGCCACACAGTACAGTGAGTTTCTGTCTCTTATTCTCTACTCTGTTAATTCCTGACACATCCCCCTGGACAAACACACTCATTACAACTTGTAACTTTCTCAAAGTAGACGACTACATGGGCAGCTCATTTAATATTTAAAAATACAGCCAAGCCTGTGTTCACATGAGAAAGAGAGAAAATAGACTAGTGTCTGGGCAGGAACTGTGCACCAAGACATCAGTGCCGCATTATGTCATCACGTCGCAAAACAATTTTCTTTGTTCACTCAAGATGCTGAAACGTCTATGAGTTTGCTGTTTTTGTAAAGTTACTAACAGCGATGAACAAAACAATTAAGCTAATGAAAAATAATACGCTGCACTGGTACCATCCACTGCATTCCTTTCAACCTGCACTGAAATATCATCTTCACAACAACATTAGTGAACAGCAGGGAGCAAGTGGCAACAAGGGAAATATTAGGTTCACATGCCAGCAGTCCCATTATCCAGCCAGCTGTGCCAAACAACGAGCCCTGCGGCCCAATCTGGCAAAGTTCTTTAGCTGCCCTAAAAGACCACTCATGCCTAATATATGACTATAATGTTCTGCTCCAGACGCAAACAGCCTTGATGTCCATGTAAATATCAGCAGCAATCTGGACCAGACATGAAAAATAAAAATAACTCATGATAACTATTGAGTACAAATGATGACACATTTAAACAATATGCTGAAACATCAGAGTTTCACATGTTTGTGGATCCACTTTCCATTCCACATTCGTACAGTAATGTAGGAAATGAATTCAGATACTGTATGACAAATGTGGTTAAGCATGCACTATTAGCCGTGTAAAGCTGCCGGACATATTTCCTGCAGGGTGTTTCTGTGTATTTTGACAGTGTTACTAATGCAGCCTGAACAACAACAAGATGGCTGTAACATTACGCCGGCATTTTTAGGGAGAAGAGGGAGAACTGCTGTCATATAAAATGCTTTTTAAGAGCGGGGCGGCAAACCAACAGCTCTGATCAGATGCTGTCTCCTGGGGTGAGAACAAACACATCTCAACTTTACCTCTAAGAGCATGGAATAAGTTAGAGGGCGACAGACAGTCAAATAGGAAATTTTTCACTTGCAGGAACTTTTCTCAAGGAACCAAGGAACCTTTCTAGGTAGGAACAACACTCATGAATTAGTTTCTGCTCCACTGAAAGAGTCAGCTATTTAACATCAGTTTTTATTGATGTTAAAAACCAAGTAAGAGTAGGGACTTGACTTCCTAACTTGACTCAAAGTCGTGCAACTGTAAATTAAAAACTGGTTCTTCAAACTCAATCAGGACTGCACAGAGCAATTAGTAGCAGGAACAGGAACTAAAAGTCCCATTTGTGCTTTCCTCTTTGCATTTCCATCTCATCTGAAGAAGTGAAAATTAAGCGATTTAGACCGGTGACAAATTAAACATCTACGGCGCTGTTAGAAATGTAATTTTCATTTCAATTTTGGTAAAACCAACACAGGGTCATCCTGTTGTGCTTCTGCATTCGAATCGTGTGTATTAAATTAACAAAGAGGATGCGGAAAACTGTGTTTACATGTTTGTTTGTTTTTCTATTTAAAAAAGTAACCGCCATGAAACAATTAACAAGTTTGGTTTTTATTGTTTGCTCTCTTTGTTTTCTCATCACCGCTCCCTGTCTTTCATTTATTTGACCACGTCTCTCCCTCTCTGGGTTGGCTGCTGCTGTCTTGACACATTCACTCTTTTTATGAAGAAGTGGGAAAGCAAACAACTTTGCTTTAATTGTTAATAAACAAAATGTCCACCCCACTATTTTGAGTGCATAAGTGCGTCCACACTGAGAAGTATGGAAAAATGCAGTGCACTATGAGTACCCGGATGGTGCACTCAAAGCGATCAAAAAGTTGAGTGTGGAACTATGGACACTTCTCGCCCTCAATGGTCGGCATCTTGGCTACGTAGCGGAAGGGGAGGGACCACTTTTCAAACTGGAAATAGCGGCCAAGGACTGTGTGACCGTGAACGTCGCTGCATTGTACAAATACACGTGTTTTTTTGCACTAAGCACCACTATACTGTTGTCAGGTATAAGCCAGCAGTATGTCTGTTGGGTTCATTTAGCAGTCCGTAATGATAACGCAAATGCTAATGCTAGTTTGCCAACTAGCTAATTTGTGGTAGTCATTTCCAGTGAGTGCACAACGGCCGTGTTTGAGACAACACTACCGTGTTGAAATTTGCGCACTACGCCAATGAGTAGATTAGTGCACACAGTATACTACACAGAAGTATACTCATGGAAGTATGTGATTTGAGACACACCACAGTACTTCCTTATTTTGCTGTTCACAAGTTAAAGCAGCTGTAAGATCTCTGTTTGACCAGTCAGCAACATTTAACCCTGCAAACTCCACCCTAACAGTTCCTGAACCTTTGTGAAGCACTACCCCCAAAGTAGAGACTCTTTTGCACCTGAAACTAAATTTAGCTCCTGGTTCATGCAGGTAAAGTTCTTGAGTTTGTTAAAAGGTTCTTGTTTCCCATGGAAAGCTCCTGCCTAGTAGTTTCTGAGGTTTGTTTCAGGGTCTTTTTGTCAAGAAAGGGTGGAAGATCCTCATTCAAATCTGTGCAGCTCCTCCAGAGGAAACAGCATGATTGAAACAATGGGGCCTGCTGACGAGAAGAAGTATGGATATGGATATTTTAGGGGTAAAAAAATAAAGTAAATGTGTGTGTTTGTGTGTGTATATGTGTCTGTCAGTGTGTTTTTGAGTACCTTGACCCTGCTGACAGCTTCCTGGGCCTGCATCATGCGTATGTTCTTGGACGGGTTCCTCTCAGACAGCAGCTGAGTGGAGCCCAGATAGTTAGCAGCAAAGATAATTCCATCAATCAGGTCTTCGGGTTCACAGGGTCCTGGGACTGGGCCATGGAGAAGCAGAGAGGACGGTGATTAACGAGGAGACACGGGGAAGGACAGAGTGCAGATAGACTGAAAAGATCTGGTGGTGCAGTGGAGAGAGTATTGTAATCACTGCAGTCAATGTGCTGTGTGGAGAAATTGAGCCAAGCGCTGTTGCTCTGGAGATGGAGATATGGTGATAACAGGCTGGGTGGGATTCAGCAGTGAGATGGCCACTGGCTGTGAGCTAATGGAGGTGTAGTGCTGGTGGGAGGCTGGGTTGGGATTAATCTGCGTCTGTGATATGTAGATGTGGACTCTCAGACACCCACTCAGGGACACAATGCACTGTCGTGATTTGAAGGAGCAGACAAGCAGCTAAGCCCCTCACACATTATTAGGCCGAGCATCTGCCCAGAGGCAGGGAAAGAGCGCTGGAAGAGTTATATCAGGCCTGTGAAATGACAGACTGAAGGCGAAGTCATACTTGGAATTGTTCCATGCAATTAGAATGTTTTGATTTCATCACCAAACAGGTGTGCAGACAGATTAACTTACCATCGACAAAGCTGGGAAACGATGCAACCTTCTTTGTTGGCTGGAAGACAAAAACAGGAGATGGCAGATAAATGGCTGTGAATTGTTTTGCAGTGTCGTAAGAAATAAATAAACCAGTCAAACCCTTCAAGTTTCATTCTGCTGGTGAATGCTGTTAGGTGTTTCACTAGGGGAACATCTGCTGGTATTAGTTACGTCCAATACTGTATTCAAACATGTCCATCAAATCCTATATGATTCTTTTTAAGGAGCAGAGTAAGTTCAATATTACATTTTCAAAATAGAAAATCTGGTTGTTTTCATGCACTCTGAATATGTGTGCCTGGGAAAAGTACTTCACCACATTTTGTATATAACCCATGTAATCATGAAGGATGTGATCATGTGACAAATGCGCTGACAGGAGTAAAGGAGGAAATAGTATAAAGACCAAAAGTCCATGTAAAGAGGCAGGTTGGACTTTCCTCCAGGAGACCAGTGTTTGGAGCCATGTGCAACTATTTTAAAGTACTAACCTACATCACTTTGTTTACCCAAACCTGAAGACAACCAACCACATTCCTCTCTCTAAACCTAACCTATGTAACTTTACATTAAGTACGCAACATTATTAATAGGGTGCTAATTTGTTAGATATGATACAAGCCATTGAGAAAACAAGGGAAAAAAGAGAATCTTTAGGTCTGTTTCGGTGAGCATTTTTTCTGTTTCCACTGTGAAAAGTTGTGGATGTACCAATGGAACCATTTTGTACCATCCCCATTTTTGGTCCCCCCTCTGTTGGGGTACCTAGCACACAGATCTGGTACTAAAAGGTGGAGCTGTGAACACTACAGTCTGTTGATTGGTCTATGGTGGACGGTCACTCTGCTCAGGGCTGAGCTGTGGCTGGTTTTGTAACCACTGTTCATACCATGGAGAGTTTTACATACATTAGTAAACTGTAACTATAAAATGAAAGGATGTTTTGCCACCTCTTGCAGCAGCTGTAGACTTCACTCACTGGGCCGACTACCGGCAACTTTTAAGGTGGAATGTTTACTTCTTATGTTACTCAATGCATGAGTTGACGGCATGATTCCATCAGCACACCCTTAATTTAAATGTGACAACTTTGACCATTACTTTAGTTTTTATTGTCTCTCTTGGATGAAATACACTTTAAGTAATGAGTGGATCTAATCTTCACTTGGAGAAAAGATGGCGGAGCGTCGTTCTTGTTGGCTACGGCAACACTAAATCCCAGAGCTTGCCTTAGAAGGACTAAATGCACAAACCTGCTATTTTTATATATCCCATCGAGAGAGACTGTCCCTGCAGCCTGTTCTACTGTGTTCTGAAAATGTCTGCTTGCAGCCTCGTTCTGTGAACGGTAAGTGAGCTGCAGACTGATAAAGGAGGAAATACAGCGAGTGCTGGACAGAGCAGTGAGCTACAACAACTACGCCCACATTTAAGAGTACTGGTTGCAGTGGAAACACTAGGGTCTAGGTACCATGTCTAAAGAGTTACTTTTGGTTCCAAAGGTACCATACTGAAAGTGTTTGGTGGAAACGGGGCTTTTAAGGTAAAGGAACATTCAATCCTCTACAACCATTTCTGATTTTTATTGAGAAAGGACAAGTACTTGCTTTTTACATCTGTGATTGCAAGACTGTGATTGTGATTCATCTTTGACCTTCCACAAACATGCAAGGTGACCCTCCTACTGGCAAGCCACGATGCCCTGCTGCTTCTTTGGGAACTGCCCTGACAACAAATCCCGTGTGAATGAACAGTATGAGTGATCGGAGGCTTAAAATGTGACATGACATGTTGTGAAAACAGTTTAAGAAGTCGCCCTGCTACTACAGTAACTGTGTTATGCCCTGCCCCACATTCACACAGTTGCATCTGTTTACACTTTGGCACTTTCACTGCTGCAGAAAATGGGTGTGTGCGCCTTGCTCAAGGGCACTGCAGAAGTGGAGAGAGTGCAAAGTGTTACTCATCTGCTTCACACATCGACACGCTGTGGGAAGTGGAGGAGAGAGGATGTAAAGGAGGGTGGAGGAAGCTATAGACAAAGGTGGCCACAGAGAGAGAGAAAGAGAAAGAGAAAGAGCTGTGAAATGTGAAGTTATTCATGAGATTCATACACTCATCCCACCGGATCTATTTGATACTCTAACCTGCTCACTACACATTCAGAAAGTTTACTCTGCCCAGGGACAGGGAAGTGTGGGTGGAGCCTGTAACAGGAAGCATCCACTGCAGACATCTCAGTGAAAAATGGCTCTCATAAAACCGCAAGCAGACACGCTGCTCAATTACCAGGACGCTATCACGCCGTAAGCAGAGGACACGAGCTGGGGTTGTAATTACACAATTACTCATTTACTCAGACAGTCGCACACACGTGTACACAAACGGGCACGCGCGCATAAAAGAGAATATCCTCCATCTGAATTGCGAACAACCTCGCAGCAGATCTAAATGTTGATGAGGGAAACACTGCGACAGAACATCTTACCTCTGGTACATTGTTGTTCTCCAGGGGAACGTTGAGGTCGGAGCGCTGCTGTTTTCTGGGTTGCTCTGCACCATTGCTCACCTGGCAGGTCAACACAGAAGAACAGGTGCGAGTGGATAAGAATTAGAAGGGGATAAAACTGAATAGCAAGAGACTAATATTGTATAAGCTAAGTCAAATACATGGGGGAAAAAAATCCTTTCTGTTTGTGTGCTGGTTGGAACAGGCTGCTGAGATTCAGGTTGGAGGAAAAATCATGTGAGTCATATGTGGGAGGCTTTGAATGTGGAGGTAGGGCTGCTACAAACAAGGTGTGTCTAAAAATAACAAATGACCTACAAGTAATATTCACCCTAAGAGACCCAACATAGACCCATTTTTGTCTTTTTTAGGGGGAGATAGCAGGTCAGCAGCATATGCCACACAGAAGTGGTACACATCATCTTGAAGCTGGGAGCCTGCAGTGTGTCCACTTTTTCTAGTCATAAATACGTAATAAACTTTGTTTTTTGAAGTATGTGATGGCCATCCCCGTGCTCAGTTATGTCTCATAAGTTGCTGCAATTTGTAAATTAATACAATTTGTTACACAGATGTGATGCTGAATGCATTTTTGACCAGTCAAGAATTGATAGAAACAGTTAAAATCCCTCCAATATACCACATTAAGGCATAACACCACTGTGATACTTTAGCTCATTCAAAACTCTGCAGCTCAACTATCAACCACAACCAAGAGGAGAGAGCACATCAGGCCAGTCTGAGCTACTCTGCACTGACTTCCTGTTACATTTAGAATTGATTTTAAGCTCCTCCTCCTTGTATACAAAGCCCTACATGGGCTGGGACCGAGCTACATTGCTAACTCCCTTGTTAACTATTTGCCTCCAAGAACACTGCGATCATCTGCTGCTGGTTTACTGGAGGATCACAGCAACAGCTGGGAGAAGATCTGGGATGCAGCCTTTGTCAATTATGCCCCAAATCTATGGATCACACTACCTATAGATATCAGGGAAGCTAGCTCGCTAAATCTCTTTTAAAGAAAGCTAAAAACACATCTGTTCAATTTAGCCTTTAAATATCTCTGACTGTCCTGATACAGGTCCAAAATTCTTTCTTTACATGCTTCACACTGCTGCAGCTCTTTTTAAATCTTGCTTGATATTATGATTTATAGTTTTATAACTCTATGATTTTATGAATAACTTAATCCATGTTTTAAACTGCTTTAAATGTCCTTTTATATTGAATTGTCTTGTCTGCTTTATGTCCATTCTATTTTCATGTGAAGCACACGTGCTTATACTGCCCTTATTGTAAAGCATTCTGTGCTGCATTTCTTGTATGAAAGGGGCTATATAAATAAAGTTTATTATGATATTATTATTATTAAGACACCAAGACCTTGAGGGACACCATAGAAAAATAGATTAGATAGATTTTTCAGCAACTGGATTGTGAACTGCTAGAAAACCCCATTGTTGTCAATATACCTATATAATCCATACACCCTTTAAATGCTCAAGGCCTCTAGTTTGTGGCTGTAAAGTTGCACAAGGCTGTGTTTATCCTAGAGGTCAAAATACGCCATTGTATACAGTGATATAAAGGTTTTTTTTTTTAAAAAAAATGGTCCCACTACCATGAAATGGCAATGGCAATAGAGATTAGTTTCCAGTCATGCCTAATTCATACACTTACAATACTGTTTACTGACCTAAGTATGCATAAATATTTAAATACACCATTTGTAGAATAGGCAAAAATAGCACATTTATACTGCATGGTTCCTGCCAAACACTGCATGGGATTAGAGTATAGTGGGGCAAGTCTGCAGAGGGGAGACTCATACCACAGAGCCCATTATCATTCATCTTGAGGTGAGAGATCAAAGGACTCCTTTGAAAATGGCTATGCCAGTTTTTCCCTTGCCAAAATCTAGCCTAACTTTGGAGTGTTATTTCGCCTCCTTTCCAACAAGCTAGCATGACAATCAGATCATCACAATTCAGGATAAACAAAATCATCTAAAGGGTGAAGCATTCTTGAACACAGGAAGTCTGGGTTCAAACTGTTCCAAGCTGGCACATGGTTACGTTCTCTTTTGTCTCACTTCTCATCACATATACAGTACATCCATATAATCACACACACAGAGGGAGGATTACATTTATTCCTGTGGATATCCATCTTGCAGCCCACAACTGCTCATTAACATTCAATCATAACACTGGCTGGAATGAAATCCTCCTCCCAGTAAAACCTCCCTCTCCTTGGTGTGGCGGTGAGAAAGTGGAATTCAGCTCATGCTGTTCTGCATCTGGAATTGAAATTAATTACCACAAACATGACATAAGTGGCCTCCTTTGTGAAGCGAGAGCTGAACATAAAGTCCTGATCAGTATTCATCATGCTGCCCAACTCAGTTGTGCAAACAGCCATTAAATTAATTAGACTCGTGTTGTTGTTCGGTAGGAAGGATTGCTAAACTGTGATGCTCAACAAAACTGCCTTCATGTACAGTATCCAGGCTCGAACATGCCTTCATCTGTAACAGGACATCTAAACGAGGCTACATGTAGAACTTGATCATTAATAAATCAGCACCACCTCACTTTAAATCCATTAACTGAATTAGCATTCACAAGACTACCGGCTTCCGCAAACGTGGACGGGACAGATCTACCCAGATTTTTTTTAATTGAGTGTGTGATATTGCACTCCTGCTACTGCTTATCAAATCAGCCCCAAGTTTAACTGCATTTATGTGAGGTTTCCTACTTCCTACTACTACTCCATGTCATATCTTCGGCTAAATGAAACCACCAGATCCATCCACAACAGCTACTACTGTACTAATACTGAGGGCGTCCTCAGCAATAAATTCTTTTCATTATGCTGTGGGCAAAACTCCACAGATTATCTTATTGAAATGCAAAACAAAATACCAATAACATGAAAAATACCAAAAAAGAGAAGCATTAGATTTCAAGAGCAATACTGCAAACAGCAACTCAATTCATGTCACCTTCAGAAAGATTTATTTAGCCTTAGAGTTGAAGATATGAATTTTTATAGGCTAAAGTCCATCTGATGAGTATGTTTAACTTTTTAGGCCAAAAAAACAGAAAGAAACAACCACATAGGTTTACCGTGTACGCAGCTTATTACAACCCATACTTCCATTTATTGTAAGGCAACGCTCTCTACTGGCCCAAGCAATAATTAAGGGTGTAGAGGGGGAGTGACGTAATAAAGTCCACACAAAGTTATGCAAACATCAAAGAAGTCCCTAAAGGGTGGATGGGTCAAACAAAAACAGGACTTTCACCCAGGAGGTTTTCAATGGCCCTTGGTTGTTTGTAGTGGTTTTAATATTTTCTAACCTTTTTTTTTTTTTTTTACAAATGTAATAGTTCTTACTGGTGTTATTCTGTTTTATATTTGCATACATGTTATATTGCTACATATTTGTGTGTCATTCTTTTAATTTGTACAGCACTTTTGTCAGCTGTGGTTGTTTTTAAATGTGCTATATTAATAAACTTGATTTGACTTGATGTGAAATATGTCACGTGACAGACGTGACTGTTATATTAGTGACAAAAGTAGTTTTTTAATGCCATACCATGACGTTTTTTACTATACCTAACCACATAGTCACCTAAACCTAACTATGTAGTTTCGGGGTACGACCATTTTATGTTGTTAAAGACGTGTTTCAAACAGCAACTTTGGCTCAACATATAACAATATCATATTTATGAGAACACCTAGCCTTTTACCTGACTGCCAGTGGTTTTTAACAGACATTTTGTGGTTCATGGAGGATTTTATTTAATTAAGACCATTCTAATACTACAAACAATATAGCAGTCTTCTAACATAGATGGGTAAAAGTGAACCTATTTAAGAGAAGTTGTGGACTGTAGTAATTAAAAGAGACCTCTTAGCACTGCACATTACAAACAATGGGCGATCTGAGGGAGGACGAAGGCAGACGCTATACACCCTTTGACCAGAATGTGTCCCCCTTGTTAAATACATCAAATTTGTCTAAATACATACTTAATGGCTGTCAACAAGCCATGATTTTAAAAGTTTGTGGTTCGCTGGCTGCAAAGATACGTCTAAACTGGGAGCAAATGCTGCACTCTTGGGGGTAACCTGGTGTAAAGAATACATGGAGAAAGTGGTGGACACTTTAATTTCGTAGCCAATGAGGTAACAAAACAAGTATAGCCAACGCCATGCAGGAAGACGAGAAAATATGTCAAGAGTGTAAGCCTTTAACGTTACATTTTGATGCCCAATGCTAAGCTGCTCAGGACTAGCTCAGGAAAATGTCCTTACAGCCCAAAACAAACTGTTAGCAAGTAAAAAAAACTCAAACATTTGACTGAAGGCATGCATTATTGTGGGAAATGCAGTTTAAATGTTTTGGCTGCAGAATGGTTACAACATGTTGCGCCATTTAAAATGAGATTATAATAGTGTGTAATATACTTTGCTTTCCTCAAATGCATCACGCCAACAGAATGCGTGTGTAGATGACCTCCCTCTGTTCTGTAACTCCTTTTATTCATAATCTTTTGACTTCACACTGCGCTGCAAAGCTTTTATTGAATTCATTGTTGTCCTGGTTCATTCAAAGGTCATGTTGAAGTGCTGCACAGAGAACATTTCATTTGATAACAGCGGACGAGACGACCAAATCATCTCAGTGAGTTTGGGAGCCATCTGAATCTGCAGTGTGCTGTACATTCCTCCAATTTAATCTAGTTGCACTGCCTGACCCAGTTCTGTGCTACAAATGAGCTACATAGTAAATGTAACATGTGCACACTGTGGAGCAGGTGTGTATCAGCATGCTGCCCACAGGAGACTATCTCTGTTCTCCTTTTACCATCTGACTTTTTTAGAAGATGGGGGAGCTCTGCATGTGTTCGAGTCTATCGATGTGACTGTGCAGGGTATGTGTGTGTGCACTCATCCAGGGCTGTGAGAGGGTGAGAGATGAGGAAGGGGACATCTCAAGGTAACATGGGGGAGGGGAGAGACTCCAGCTATTCTCTGGATGGTGATGACCAACATGTCATGTAATTCATCCCCAGCTTCTCACCACAGAGCTGTTTCAGTCACATACAGTGGCACGAGTCTCTGCCACAGAGCATCGTCACAGCCTGAATATCCAGCGCATTTTCTGCAAAGGCCAGATTAGCATTATTATGTTGGTGCTGCTGTTGGTAGGTTCTGTCTTTTCATCTGTGTGCCCCTCTCTGTAAATGTACTCCTGATTCAACACAGCAGAAGTGAGAACTCTGTTATACATTGGCCTCAAGATGGAATTCAGCTAGACTTGAATTTTAAAAAACTGTTTGAATTGAGGAAATTTGGGGTGATTTATTTCCCTAGTATTTAACTCAAAGCTTAGGCCTTTTTCATTTAAGACATTTAAACAAAAGCCCAAGTGAAAATAACAAAAAATAATGATAGCTGCTGTACTCCATTTTGCTGCTACAGTTTCAGGGTCCTGGTATTGTGCCTGTCATTACTGTTATTAAACTACTTTTCCTACAATGTTTTCTTCTTTTGTTAAAAAGTAAAAAGTGCCTGCTGTGTAAAACCCCCATTAGCTTCAAATCCAGCCTTTTTTGAGAGAAGGGAGAGCAATGACCAACTCATGAATAGAAACCCACTTGAGTTTTTTTATACTGCAGTGCTGCTTTTTCAAAGTGATAGTTTGAATCCTGTGAAGTGGGGTTGTATGAGGCACTTATCCATAATCAGTGTTACCTACAATAGGTGGTGGTTGGCACGCCCTCAGTTTAGAGAAGCAGACAGCAATACTGCCACAGAGCCTAAGCCATGTACTGCTGTAGATAGAGGCAGGAGCAACATATATTTTAGCTACCATTATATCGCTCTCTTCAAAGTCAAACTCCATTCAGGAAAACAGTGATTTAACATCCCTGAACAGAAGATGGTTGTCTACTGCTGCCTCAGTCATTTTTGTTTCTATTATTGTGTGACTTTAGTGTTTTAAAGAGTTAGTTCAGATTCACCAAAGTCACAAAATAACACACATTAACTAGGGCCCAACCGATTTATCGGCCAGTCGATTTAATCGGCTGATTATAGCCATTAGAGAATAATCTAAAATAATCAAAAGTTGGCCGATTGACAACGATGTTAACACTTATATTTTCATCACTAATAAAATGCAGGGAATATGGTGTTTTACTTAGAAATGATTTCCTTGTGTTACTTTTTGCACTATAACCTACCTCTGTTAAAATTGGCAATAATAAGAAGAACTCTGGTATTGTGAACATACATGTGAATGTCTTAATTCATATAGACTTTGCATGATTATTTTATTTCCCAGAGGTTTACTGCCTTTTTGCACATCATATTTTTGATTTTTTTTGTGTTCAAATTGTTCATATGCTGCTTGTTACACACAATTTCTGATAATAAAAGTATTTGAAAATAGTGAAATGTTCTTCCTTCAATTTATATCTTTGTTACAAGTGTTTGAACTATATTTAAGCCATCAAAAGCAGGTATTTCGGGGTTTTTTAAACTGAGAAACATAAAAAATTAATTGGCCGATATATTGGTTATCGGATTTTTTTATTCCATAATATCGGAATCGGCATCGGCCCCAAAAAATCCATATCGGTAGGGCCCTAAAATTAATTAACTGATGGAGGTGACAGTAGATCAGCAACTCTTGTGACTTTGACGAGAGCAAAGATGGGGAACCTGACTTCATTTTCAGACAGGTAGCTTGGTATTGGTCAAGTATTGGTAAAGTAAACTTTAGTGGGAGACCTGAAGTTAAACTGTGACACATATTGTTGTTTTAAAATAGAACATGTAGGATTCAGTCTGTCCTAGCTTTAACCTCTCAAAAACAGCTTACCTGCTCCGGTTGCCATCTCTGTCTGTCCTCAGGGGAGCGTGCATGTGCCTTGATGCCCCTCTGGAGGTCAGGGTTGTTGTGGTGCATGGAGGGCAGGTTCAGGGACTTGGGCCTGCTGTCGTGGCGATGGTGAACTGGTGGGTAGGGGGCTGGGTCAGGCTTGGGGTGAGGGTAGTCACTTGGTGCAGGGTCCTGCGCCAGCTCCTCTGGGCTTTGGTCAGTGCCGCTGCTTAGACTCCCCATGCTCATACTCATCTTGATCTCCGCAACAATTTGGTCAATGTCCTCCTCCGCCTCCTCCCCTGTCTCACCCTCTACCACCAGCACCTTACGGCTACGGTACGGAGAGACTCGCACTGAGTTCCCATTGTCCTCCGGGGCATAGTAGTCACCAGTGTAGGCCCTCCCATGTCTCTCCTCCTCGTCACCTTCCTCGTCTTCTTCCTCATTAGGGCAGTACTCCTCGCTCTCCGCCTCCTCCTCTTCCTCTCGGGTGTGCAGGGTGTCTTGCATGGGGGGTTGGTGGTGGAGATGGTGGTGATGGTGATGGTCCAGGATGGGTTCTGGTCTTCCATTGTATATCTGTTCATCCGGATCTTGCTCCACCACCTCACAGCGAACCTCCCCCTCTCCCTCACCCCACTCCTCCACCCTGTGCCTCTCACGTCCCGCCCACTGCTCCTGCCTGACCTGGCCCTCCTCTCTCCACTCCTCCCTCACCTCTTCCTCCTCCTCTCTCCACTCTTCCCTCACCTCTTCCTCTTCTTCTCTCCACTCTTCCCTCACCTCTTCCTCCTCTTCTCTCCATTCTTCCCTCACTGCCCCCTCTCCCTCCTCATCTTCCACCCATTCTTCCTCTCTCACCTCCCCCTCACCCTCGCCCTCCTCGGCCCACCCTTCCACAGCCTCCTGACATTCATCGGTGTGAGCTCCGCCCGGCTGCGCGGTGTTGGCGCAGTTCCCCTGACTGTGGCTGTGGTTGCAGTCTCCCTGGCTGCTGCAATCCATACCTTCCAGGTAACTGTCGTCCTCTGGGCAGTAGCGGATGTAGTAAGTCACACCTTCATCCTCCTCTGCGAGCCCTGTGGGGTCAAATAATCACAAACACGTGTCCTGATACCTGGAGCTTCTTTGTTGAACTCACAATAAGCACTGAGCTACTAAACAGGGACTCATTAGGGACAGGAATCAATAATCAGTTCCCTTTTAAAACCAGTGCCAAATTTGTAAAGAATCCTGGGATTCATTTAGGTTATATTTGTCATCATCAATTAATTTTACCTAGCAAACATTTGTTGGAAGTTGATTTCATATCCCTGGCCAAAAATGGTAGCATCAGACGCCAAAAACTACAATGCCATTATGAGGCAGATGGACGGAAAGGGACGTTGTTCCACATCCAATAATGGCCCATTCAGTAACTATTAATCATGTGACTGCTATAGAAAAAAGCAAATGTGTTTAACTTTGTTTTTATACAATATTTTATTGACTATTTATTTGTTTGGTTGTGAAATGGTTGTGATCAGACAGCCACAATGTGACGTCCACCCAGTCCAAGGATCAATATTACTCAACGCACATTTTTTTAAATATTAAAAAGATGTTTATGCCATTTCTGTATGTCTACATGTAATTTACATGTCTGCCCGGAGACAAGTTGAAACAGGCAGCTACATGCAACTTGCCGTTCTGCTATGCTCTAAAAACCCTGCCGGTTCACACCAATGCAACTAGATGAGACAGTGTATCATCTCTATGCAACAACTCTCTGCACTCCTGTTCTTATTTCCAGCTTTTCAGGCTTATTTTGGGGCTGAATATAATGTAGCTTCTTAAAATATGAATGAGGATAGTGATAGTGAGATACTGGCTACAGCTGCATTTGTAGTAGTGATGAAACTGTGAAAAACTTAAACAAAACAAGCATCAGATGGACTGTATTTATAATAAATACGCCAACCACCACCAATTAATCAGTCAATGAGCATTAGTGTGCGGGTGGGCATAAGCACATACAGCGAGCAGCAGCAGCAGCGACCCACCGTCTGACACCGGCACACTGTGAGGACGGAAACAGGTGACTTGCTTTACGTTCTAAAACCAGCCGCCGGCAATGTGACCAGCTGAGTTTCAGGTGACACCATAAGCCGCCTTGAGTTGAGCTGGGACTGGCCGGTTCACACCGCTGCAATTTTTCTCTGCAATGTTTCATCTCGTCTGGGATGTTTGGTCTGAACTGGGCTTTATAGTTTTAGGCCTGTGGTGTTTATAAGAGCCAAAAGTCTTTTTTCCAAGATGTCTTTGATTGCACATGAAAGTAGCAGCCTTCAGGGCTTTTGCCAGAAAGTCAGGTGTTGTAGTGTGAAAAGTGACAAAGTCCACACAGATGGAAAGCTGTGGTGGATAAAGGGGTGATTTTCACCTAGGAGATGGGAGTTGGAGTCCCGTGTGAGTCAGCATTAGTTTATAATTGGTCGTGTTAATGTCACATTTTGTTGTTGCTAGGATGCCCAGGAAGAACGTCCAGCTGAAGGCCAGGTAACTTTCATTTTGGAACTATTTTTTAACCCCAAGAGGAAGTCTTGATTGGACATTCAAACAACAGTTATTAAATGTCTCAATGTTTGCTGGGTTGTACACAGTCACTTCACACTGGAACTCAAAGTTTCTGAGTTTATTTTTATGTGGATCCTCTCATGCTGCCAAAAGAAATGATGTTTGAACTTGTGGGGATATTTTTTTTTGCTAAATTGCACCCTTGCTCGATTTCACACACACAAAAGCATGGTTTCAAGCAACAGTGCCAACATGTTTTGAAGTATGAATATCTGAATGGCAAATTACTACTTTTGTTGATGCAGTGGAGTCCGACTGTTACTTTCTGTTTGTTTTCTTCCGCTCTCCTCTACACGCTGTTACTTATTTTGTTCAATTTAGTTTTTACTCAACAGAGATGAAAAGACATATAATAAATATGTGCTTTTGTCTCCCTCAACATTTTCTCAAACAAAAATGAATAAAGTTAAGAGTCAATAATGGAAGAACGGATACTGGAAGGGTGACACTGATCAAATATTAATTATCCACATGATTAACATCATGCTCCTCACCATCATCATAGTCCTCTTCATCATCAGAGGTGTTATTAATGTAGTCAGAGCTGGAGTCATCGTCCAGGCTGTCAGCTCCACCATGGAAGTCTGCCCGGTCATGGTCATCTTGGTCATGCTCATGTTCTGGCGTGGAGGGTGTTGCTGGCCGCTGGTCCTCCAGTTCTGGTTCTGCTTGGTTGCTGTACCGCTTCACTTCAACCTCTGCATCTACATCCACTTCTGGATGACTGTGACTTATGTCTTGAGGCTTGCGGGAAGAATATTGTGCCTTACAGGAACGGGGGAGTGGTTTCAGATCATGAGGCTCTTTGGGGTAGCGGACTGGGCGTTGCCTAGGGGGGAGGGCTTTCAGATCACATGACTCTGTAGGATGAGGGGTGGGACAGGGGGCGGGGCCTGGAGCAGCCATACTGTTTCCTCCACTGGTCCCCGGCCTCTTCCTATGAGCCATGGCTAACGGCTTAGAGGCCATGCATTGTTACTGGATTGATCCTAGAAGACAGACAGAGACACAGGGGCATAGCGTTAATAGAAATTATTAAAATAAAAATGTTCAAGGCTTAAACTAGTAAACTTTTGAACTTTTAAGACAAATACAACTGTTTTCTTGTATGCTTCAGCAGAACAAGAAAATTTATACCACCTCACATCAAAATGGTAAATCTGCTCACAGTAGAGCAGTCCTTTATCAAACACACGGCATCATCCTCCACTTGTCTTTTTCTGCACTTGCATACAGCGGCAACATATTTTCAGCGCCTGACAAACCAATCTATTCCTGTAATTAAGCACGACAGTCTCTGGTTTACTTTGCCCACATTCAGAGGAACTCCTTTGTGCTTATTTAGCAAAACTTCTGCTTCAAATACAACAACACTGGGCTCATTATATCACTCAGGCTCAACTGCAGAACAATAGAGACAAAGAGCAGAGCTGTTTTAAGCATTCTGCCTCCACACAAACCTAACGGGACCCTTCCAGAGAAGAAATCAATAGTTAAATCAAGGTCATCTCCACATAGGTGCTGCACATGTGACCTGATACCATACAACTTGTATTGATCCTATAGTAGCTTGCTGGCTGAGAATGGTCAACGCCGGGAGACAATAAAGTCTCTTTCTGCATAAAGCGCAGGTGAAAAGAAAGAAAAACATTTCTTGCTGTGTTGAGCAAGTAGCCTAAGAGCTTGCAGGAAACAAAAAATCCAGGTGGACATGTTTGTTCCCATTTCAGCAAAACATCATGAAGCTGAACTTCTACCTGCTTCAGTCTGGTGTGGTTACTGTAATGAAATTTATGGAAACAAATGCCTCATGTTACCATCAAACATCAATTACTAATAGGAATGCATTGATTGTGAAATTCTGGGCTGATACTGATACAGATGTTTAAAATATTAATTTGGCCGATAGCCGATAGTTAATAGCCAATAGCTGCTAGCTGCTAGCCAGTAGCCGATAGCCGGTGGCTGAAAATTGATAGCTGCTAGCTTCTAGCCGATAGCTGCTAGCTGCTAGCTGATAGCTGATAGCTGATAGCCAATAGCTAATAGTCGACAATTGATAGCTGATAGCCAACAGCAGATAGCCGATAGCTAATAGCCGATAGCTGCTAGCCAGTAGCCAATAGCCAATGGCTGATAGATGATAGCTGCTAGCTGACAGCTGCTGGCCGATAGCTGATAGCTAATAGCCAATAGCTGATAGCCGATAGCCAATACCAATGTTGTATCTTTGTTGATTTTGTTTTTGTTGTAATTTATTCCCACTCTTGTGCCAGGGAAATAAAAAATAATTATTATTAAAAAATGACATCTGTTTCAAAGTCATTTAGCCTTCATTACTCCACATTTGAATGAGCATAAATGTAATCATATAAATTTCTGAAACAACCTTTAATTTGGCCTTTTTGTGGCTTCAAAAGCCTTTTCACTGTTACTATTGCGGTTAATAGTGCTTTGAAAACATCAATAAATTTCTCCTTCAAACATGTATTTGTTGACATTTCTGGACGAAAAATAAGTTCTAATAGATCACATTTGAACACAGCAAGGTGCCTTGCTCAGCCTGCTGCCCCCGTGACCTGACCCCGAATAAGCAACGGATGAATGGACATTTGAACGCATCATGATAACATTATAATTTACTCACTCATTTTTTCTGAAGAGAACTTGAACACATCATAACAACTTAGTGCAACCTCCCTTAGCTGCTAGCAGCTAGTGGCTGGAGCTAACAGCTGACATTAACTAGCTCTCTTCCTGCCAATTCCAACATGAATTTGTTCACAATGCAGCATTATCAGGGAAAAAATAAGGTATGTTCCTTGGTGCGTCGATATTGGGTTTGCCGAGCCCTTTTGTCCTGAGGGCCTCCCGCAATAGATCTCTGTTTGTCCCAAACATGTTCTCTATTGTCCCCAGAATAACGGGACATGGTTAGTCTCTGACCCTGCTTTTTAGCCTGCCCAAAATTGATGCGACACAACAGAACAAAATGGGACACTGCTAGCCTATCAGTGACATCATCTTATTTGCCAATAGGCCAAAGGCAGTCAGCAAGACAAAGATCGGCTGAAACTGATGTCTGGCTGATCAATCACTGTGTCCCTGATAACTAAACTCTAAAAACAATCACCAGTCCTTTAACAGCTAATCCATCTTGATGAAGAAAGATTTATTGGTAGATAAAGACGGTATTCTAGCATCAGTTATTTTAATATTCAGAGCGACCAAGAAGAGGCAACTGCAATGGTGACAAGAACAGATCGGTATAAAGTATTAGCCTTTCTTTCCCCATTATAAAAATGGATCTTATTTTAAAAAAGGAACACAAACAAGATAAAGGATATCCTATAAATCATGAATGAATCCTATTACAGACATAAAAAAGAAGTACACAAGTATGCAGGCCAGCATCAACACACACAAACAGATTCCAGGATGAGAGCCATAAAAGCACTTTACCATTAGCTGTACTGCATTTTAACATCCAACCAAAAAAGTTCAGGGTATTTTTTTCCTCCTGTCAAGCATGCCCCTTTGTACCCTGTCATCCATTTTGTCGCCATCCCCACTGTTGTGCCATCCAGTTGCCATGAACAACTGCCCTCAGAGGGGTGTTGTTGCTGCTTTCCCCCCTTTTTCCCTTCACCATAATTACATTTTCCATCACCAGAGCTTACACCGGTTAATTAGCTCTGCACAACCTGGCACAAACACATCCCTTCTAAAACACAAACAATACAGATAGGAGCACACACACACACACACACACACACACACACACACACACACACACACACACAGAAACACATGCACACAGTTGGTTGTTCCACAGGTAGCCAAGTCAGGGGACAAAGATTACATGTGCACACAAAGCTTATGTACTAGGCTGACTGGCTCTTGTTGCTGTATGGCACAGACATGTTATAAATACATAAGAGCACTTCCATGGAGGTCACTGATCCACAATATTTGTGCTGTTAATGCACACAGACACGTGCACACTATACAAATGATGAAATATAGCAACATGTTCTGGACATCTACTGAAGCACTTTGTTCATTATTTAAAACATCTCAAAAAGGTTTTCACTCCAAACTTTTGCCATTAACGTAAAAATGACCTCAGCTTGTTAACATCTACAGGAAACCATATGCACTAACTGTGTCTCTTACCTGAGGTCTGGAGCTGGGGTGTAGTATACAATAGCAATGGGATCTGCTCAAACAACGGCCCCATCCTCCCTCCGCCTGACCCTCCCATCTCTCTTCGCTCCTCCCTTCCCCCCACAAGCTAATACACAGCATGCATCTCCCTGACTCCACCCTCTTTCTTCCTGCACATTATATCCCAGCATCCTCCTGTAGAGACCCAGCCCCACTGCGTTCACTCCCCCAGAGCTGAGGGTAAGGATTGGTAACTATGGGTAACTGCATCCCCAAGGGACTGATACCCTTTGACCTCCTCTTTGTTGGCCTCCTAGACTCACAGGCCTCCTGTTTTTGTGTGGTGTTGCGTGAATGTGTCTGTATTTGTGTTTCATATCATGTCATTCATATGTTTTTTGCTTTTTAGATTTTTTT